AGCACCAGGGATCGTGGGTGAAGGTGTTTGTGGGCAACTCTGAGTCCAAGTCATGTTTCAAATACAGTGGGAAGCCCAGGGGATTCAAGGCAGAACAAGGACATGACCCATTCAAGTGTTTCTTCCATTATAGGATGGAGAATTCACTGTTGATCCGTTAAAGGTCAGCTCTGTCCCCCAAAGCCTAAGTTCTGTGAGTTCCCCATGCTGGCTGAAGGCAGGAAGATTGGCTGGCCGGCCTCCCACCCTTCCAGCTGCCACACAGAACCTTCTGTGTGGATGCTGCTGACTCACAGGCAGTTGTGCCCAGATGGCCGCCTGTGGAGCCAACCATCTGGGTTGACATAGTATCTGAGGAATTCCTGGAAACCCAGCCAGGAGCCCACTTAGGTGACCAATGGACTCTGGAAGAAACACCCTCAGTGTTGCCCCAAGACTGTAGCTGGGCCGCTCGGAGGGTTGGGGGCCAGGCTGGTAAGACCAATTAGTCAAGTGAACTTAGCTCTGTACAATCACTGGATGAAGCGCAATCCTAATTAGTCTTATCTGTAAAAACCAGGAGTCAGATATTGGGGTAAAAGTTGAAAGATCAGAGAAGCAGAGGAGCAGCTGCCCCTCCGCCCTGACTTGTCACTTCCTGTCTCCCCTCGGTACAGACCTCCAGACCTCAAGTGTTAACTAGTGGCTAGCTCCGCTCTCTGGTCTCCAGGCAAGCTTTATTTGTCAGAACACAAACAAAATATCACACCACAACTTGACACCAAGGCGGTGAACTGACATCCGCTCCAGAAGGGGGCAACAGTCCTCCAACCCTAGCCCCAGGCAGCCTTCCACTGAGTTGACCTTCCAAAAGAAGAAATCTTGGCCACAAGCTCCAGCTCCAAGCTCATGGCCATCCAAGGGAGAACTTGAGGCTCAGGGGTGGTGTTTTCCAACAGCTTCTAGATGCAGAATCTTGTTGAACGGGGGTGGGGGGGGGGGGTGGGGGGGGTAGAGGGATTGCTTAATTTATCAACAAATCAAAGCTTTACCTCCCTGGATGCGCCTTCCAAGTCCACCCCTTCCCTTCTTTTTTCCTCCCTGGTGACTTTGGACCAACACCTTTCTTTCTCAGTTCAGTTTCCTGTGTCAATGCAGGGTTGGACTGTGCTGTGTCTCCCCACCCGCCAAAGAAACCCCCCTTGTTACCCGCAGCAGAGTTCAGAGAGGACTTTCAGGGGCTCCCCACCCCCACAGAGTGGGAGATGGGTGCCCCATGCTGACCACGGCAGTGCAGGTTCCAGAGAAAGGGCATGGCAGAGAGAGAGACCCTAGGTGCTGCCCACACCCTGGCTGACAGGAAGGTCAACTCCGAAGAGCCACCACCCCTGTGGTGGGGACCTGTATTGGGAGGGTCTACCCGCTTCTGTTCAAGCCAGCGGGGTGAGATAGGTTCACCCTGACTGGCCCTGTCTGAAGCAGGGTCAAAACCAGAGACTCTGCCTGGGCTCCACTGGGTCTTCCTCAGGCCTCCCCTCCCCACCCCCCACCCCCCCGATAATGCAAATGTAGTTCCTGACTGACAACAAGAGTGACGATGGACACCAAAACAGTCAACTATTTTTATCTCCAGATTAATCACAAAAAGGCTAACGCTTCCACCTTCCTTGTGATTAAAAATTAGGAGACCAAACTCTATAGTGGTTCGGGATAATAACCAATCCTGTGAGGGGATGTATGAATAATGCATCTCCAGGCCCGGGCTTCTCTGAGACTTCCTCCCCTCCCCACATGGCCCCAGCCATGGGCCCCCATCTGAATGGAGAGGTAATGAGTACTCCCCACCACACACCTCCCATCTGAGCTACAGCTGCCAAGAACGAGTGTTGATTTCTATTCAGCCGATGGCCCCCAAACATCCTCCCTCCGAGTCCACCGCACCCCACCCCACCCACCCCTCCCCCACCCCCATCTGGTGTGCAGCGAGGCGAAGGCCAATCAATAATGCATGGCTACATGAATAACCAGCATGATAACCACTTATTTGGGAAGATGTAATCAGGACCCATTCTGAGGGTGGATGTTTGTGTGTGTGAATGTGTGTGCGTGCCTAAGAACTCCCACAACACAGCCCCTCTCCCCTCCCAGCTCTCCTCATCCCCCAATCCTGCTAATGCAATCTGAAGCACAACACTGGTGAAGCAGGAGGGGAGGGGGGTGTAGAGCCTCTGGTATGAGTTTCTAGAAAGAACACACACACACACACACACACACACACACACACACACACACACACACCTTAATCAGAACATAGAACAGCTCTATGCACCTAAGCCAAAAGCCCAGAGTACTCAAATGCGGTTACTCATCCACATGCTGGGGGACCAACTCCACACTCTTTGGTCTCATTGGTCAGAGAGCATCCTGGCAATGGGATTGATGAAACTTCCCCAGAAGGTTGCCGGCCAACCCCTGTCTGGCTCCAACGCATGTCAGTACCAGAGGGAGTGTTCACACTTTCTGCCTGAAGACACTGCCTCTGACTGTCGCCATCACACCTCTTAACTCATCATTGCAAGAGGGCCAGGTGGTCCTTCTGCTCCGGGACCAGTCAGTCTCATCTCAGCCCAACTCAGGAACGTGAGCTCCTCTTTCCTGAGCACCCAGTGCTGAGAAGGAGACTGCCTATACTGAGAGCTGAGCAGGACCACCCAAATTTCCACAGAATACTGCAAGCCCCAGCCCTCACTGCTGGAGGGGCCCAGTCCACCCCCAGTGCAGGAAGCTGAAATCCCTTTCATCAGTTGCTAGCCACACCCCCATTGATGGAAAGCCCTAATTAACCCCCCTTTGCTCTCCGGCCACGCCTACACCAAGGAGACCACAGGCACTAATAAGAGGGTACAGTGGGCACAAGCAGTTGGTTATCTTGGGTGTCCAGCCCATACCCGCCTGCCTCCTCCAGCCTGGCAGCTCTGGGGCCTCCTGGAGAGGCCTGGCTTCAGAGCTATGGGTATAGAAGGGTTAGATAAGGCCAACTTTCTCCCTGGGCCAGGATCATTTTGGCATCCAGAGCTGGTAAAAAAGTGACCCCATCTCCAGAACCCTACAAAGTTGAGGTTCCTCAAGAAATGGTTCTGCAGGGCTGTTAGAACTGAGTCAACCTTCTGTGGGGACCAGACAGGGATAGGTGGGGTGACCAACCTAAAGGCCTGCTGCTTTGGGTACTGGCCTGTTAAAGAAGTCCAGTAGATGACATCAGGAGCTGACAAGGAAGGCAAGCAGATTCTGCAGCTGGAAGGCACAGCAAACCATAAGCATAGGTGTTTGTTTGCCCAGGGTTGGGTTGGAGGGGTGTGTTGCCCCTAAAAGCCCATAAAAAGACCTCTGCACTAGGTCTTCAAACCCTGATAACACGCCCACCCACCTGTCCTTCATTCCTGAGAAAATGCAAAGTTCCCACCTCTAGTGTGTCAGGGGAGTACCTGAGTCCCTTTCAGCCTCTAGGGCTAACTGAATAGACCCTCTAGATCTACATCAGAAAAGACAGAGGTTTCTCAGGGGACAGTCTCGTCAGATGGTCTCCATGGAGCCCTGCCTCCTCCATGGCTGGTCCATGCAGCAGTAAAGGCCTGGGAAACTTAAATATGTTCAGAAGCACCAGCCTCAGAGGTAGCCGTGTGTCCTTAGTCAACTCTTGACTTCCCAGAGTCTCTTTATAAATAATAATTGATTACCGTCATCCCTGTCAGTGTGGCCTTCACGGGAATCAAACGTGGTTCATTGGATCCAGCAGGTGTCTCTGCAGCTGCTTCAAGGTGTGGAGTTCCATGTTGGCCCTGCCGGGACCTTGCTCCACAGTGCAGGGGACAATCCCATGTCCGTTCCCCTTTGGCACTATGGATATCTGAAGAGGGCCACCAGACACTAACCACACTGATACATGCAGGAAAAAAGAAAGAAAGAAAGAAAGAAAGAAAGAAAGAAAGAAAGAAAGAAAGGAAAGGAAGGAAGGAAGGAAGGAAGGAAGGAAGGAAGGAAGGAAGGAAGGAAGGAAGGAAGGAAGGAAGATGTCAGGAAAGGGAGGCTCCTTCTGAGTGGGAATCAGGGTCCAGGAACTACTCTAAAGACCTGCCCTGTCCCCTGTCACCTGAGGGAGGGACCAGCCTGATCAAGGGTCAAAGGCACAGCTTCCAGCCCCAGATCCACCATATGTTTACCATATGACCTTGAACAAGTCCCTTGGTGAACCTCAGATTCCAGGTCTACATAATTGGGATAAAAATAGTGTTTTTCCCTGCAAGACTGTTGTGAGAGATGTAACAAAGCTTGGCAAAAGAAAAGAAAAAAAAAAAGTCAGGGCTGGATTAATGGCTCAGTTATTAAAAGCGGGTACTACTCTTCCAAGACCAGAGCCTGGTTCCCAGTACAAATATCAGGCAACTCACAAGTGCCTGTCACTCCTGCTCCAGGGGATCCAGTGCCCCTGGCCTCTGTGAGTGCTGGCACTCCAGTGCATACGCATGCACACACACACAACTAAAAATAAAATCTTATGTCAGCCCGTGGTGTCTCACGCCTTTAGTCCAAGCACTGGGGAGGCAGAGGCAGGTGGATCTCTGTGAGTTTGAAGCCAGCCTGGTCTACAGAGCAAGTTCCAAGACAACTAGGGTTACACAAAGAAACCCTGTCTTGAAAATCCAATAATAATAATAAATCTTTAAAAAGAAACAAAAATAAATCTTCTCTTTTTTTTAAATAAAGATCCTGTGGTCCCTGGTATGTCAATTGCTAAGTACTGCTTCCAGGTCTGTGAAACAGGCTAGGGACACCTGCCTGTCCTCACTCATGCTTATTCCTGGTGTGACAACATGAAGAACAGCATATCGTTTTACTATTACTACCATTGGAATACAGAGGGTGACACTCTTTATCAAGGTATAACCATTATTGCTCATTATTCTCTGCCATGTCACATAGAGACCTACCCCAACCTGACCTCTCTGCTCCTCTCCCCACAGTGCCACCCGATGACCCCATCATCCTAGGAGGGCCTGTGATCAGCCTTCGGGCAGGGGACCCTCTCAACCTCACCTGCCACGCGGACAATGCCAAGCCCGCAGCTTCCATCATCTGGCTACGTAAAGGAGAGGTCATCAACGGGGCCACCTACTCCAAGGTGAGCCTGAGGGAGAGATGGGGATGGGGGGTGGGCAGTGGGACAAAGGATAAAGAGAGGTAAGAGTGGAGGGGTCAGGCACCTGGGGACCAGCTCTGCCTTTCTTCCCGTGGAAGTGCTTCTGTTGTTCCACATTCTCTCTCTCTCTCTCTCTCTCTCTCTCTCTCTCTCTCTCTCTCTCTCTCTCTCTCTCTCTGTGTGTGTGTGTGTGTGTGTGTGTGTGTGTGTGTATGTGTGTGTTTTATTGGTCACTTTCGTTCTCAGACTGTGTCTTCCACTAGCCTCCCCTCTCCCGCCTCCCCTCTCCCGCCTCCCCATCCTACCCTCTGATCAGGATAACTATAGGTAAAAACCCTAGAACAAGATATGGTCAAAAGAGGAGATTGAGGCAGAAGTGGTCAGGTTGCCACCGCTAATATGTGATGCTCTGAATAACTGTGTGCCACCCCCCAAAACTCCTGTGTTGAAACCCCAAGATCCAAGAGGAGGGAGCTTTGGAAGGTGGTTATGTCATGATGGTGGTGCCGTCATGATTAGGATTAGTGGCCTTATAAAAGGGGCCCAAGAGAGAACTCTGTCCTTTCCACCATGTGCGGACATTGTAAGAGGATGGCCAACACCAACACTCCTTCAGTCTGCCCCATTTTGGGCTTCTAGGCTCCAGGACTATAAGAAATGAACCTCTGTGGTTCTGCTGCTGTCCAGCTTGTAGGTTTTTGGTGGTGTGTTGTTGTTGTTGTTGTTGTTGTTGTTGTTGTTGTTGAAACAGCCTGAATGGAACAAGACTTTTTTCAGAAAATATAGTAAGTTCATTTTTGGCATGTTTCTCCCAAGTGTTGCATGGACCGTACTCATACTAACAAATTATGCATTGTTCATCTGAAGTTCAAGGTTAACAGGTCATCATGTGTTTTAATTTGTTAAATCTGACCTGCTTTCCAGGGCTGCCTGATGAGACGCCAGAACAGGGACCAGAAAGGGCTAATCTACGCTTTGTGCCCTGATGGGCCTGCCTATGAGGCTGCTTGTCTTGAACTCACACAGTAGCACCCTGAACTGGCCCCTGTGGCGCTCTTTCACTTTGTTTTCTGTATTTTATAGTATTTTGAAAGCTTGCAGCCTCAAAGATCCTGGGATGCGAAGACGGCCCCGGTTCACCAGTTCCCAGAAAGAGTTAACTTACTGTCCACGCTTCGGCCTATCCGGAGTCCACAGCCCCATGCGGGCCTTTATTCTCCCTCCTGTAGTCCAGACAGTATCTCCAGGACCAGGAATCAGGAACATCAGATCCCTCTACAGCCCAGAGCCCACTAAAGCTACCCAAGCTAGCCAATCCTAAAGCTGTGCGGCCCCTACCCTGCCTCACCCATCCCTTTCCCCACTAACCACAGCGAAGGTTCATCACACTCATCCCCCTCCACTCCCAGCTTCCTGGTGTGGCATGGCTGACCATGCGCCTCCTCCTGGGAACTATGAATAACAAACCATCTCTGCAATGGCAGTAGCTTCCTCATCTGTTGGCTTCACTGTCTATGAATACAGTCAGAAATAACCTGTGCCACATGCCTCCCCGGGAGACTTTTATGCAGTCCCAAGCGGGGTTTACATCCTGCAGAGCCTTCAAGATGAAGGAGACCTGACCTCTGGAGGGCCATTGGCCCAAGCTCTTTTGTCTAGAGACAGAAAACTGAGACTTTGAAGGGAAGTGTCTGTCCTGCTCAGGTGTCTTCTAGCAGCACCAGGACTGTAGCCAAGGTCTCTTGTCACCTAGGTTTTCTTTCTGACCTCCCCCAGAACAGGCTCAGGTCTCTGTGGGTTCCAAGAACACCACCGGAGGCTACATCAGGACCCCAGGCAAAGCAGCCTCCAGGCTCTGAGGTTAGGGCATAATCTTTCAGGACCCTGACCCAGGGTTTCAGAGAGCATCAAAGCACATGCTTGTTCCTTAGTTCTGATCCCCAGCTGGCCCCTCCCCGTGGGTCCTGAGAAGAGAAGAAATGTCTTTTCCATCAGCAGAGGATGTGAAGAAAGGCCATTCCTATTGTAAGGACAGCTCCTTCCCGTCCCAAACTGACTATACTGCCAAAGGCGGCTGATCAAAGCTTGGCGTACCACCCAGTTCCTGGGGCCAGATCCCCAAACAAATGGCTTCTCTTGGACCTGAATCCATCCTAGGAACAATGCTTCCTCTTGGGAGATAAGTTGTCCGCTCACATCCTAGGTGGAGCCACACTGTGAGGATGTCAGGAAAGGCAAACACATAGCCCAGCGGCCAAGGTCATCCAGAGGGAGCTGGGAAGGAAGAGAAGGGTGTTCCTATGTTAGAGGTGCCTGTCCATGTCTCTCTGAAGCTGGGCCAGCCTGACCTGCCCGGGATATACAGAAGAGGACATGCCTCATCTCGTAAAGGCGGGGTTCAGGGTCACCCTATGAGACCTATTCCAGGCTAGTCTACCCAGAAGGCCATCCTCACCCACACAGCCTGGCGCACTGCCTTTCTGGAAAGGAGATTGTGTGCCTGTCCTCGCCCAGGCCCACCCCTATTCTGACTGTCAAAGAGGGAATGGCAGCCAGGCCCTGCCAGTCCCTGCTCTCTGTAACCCCAGGCAACAGTTTCCTGGGCTCAGTTTTCTCCTCTGAACATGAAAGAGCTGGAAGAGACACTCAGGAAGTGCCCTCGCTGCGACAAGCTGTAAACTCATGGATTAGAGCTCAATGTAAGAGGCAAAGATTCCAACAGGAGCCGTATGGCCCAAGCTGAGGGGCTGTTAGAGACTGACCCCCCACCCTGTCTCCTCCCAGGCGCTCAGCCCAGGCCATTCCTTCTCCAGAACTGCAGAGACAATTGTCATAAGCCAAATAGTTCTTCTGACTTACTTACAAAGGCAGAAACATCAGAGGAAGACCGTGAACACACAAGTACACACACACACAGCCCACAGAGAAGCCCCCAGGAAGCAGCCCTGACAGAGCTGCACCTAAAGCCTTCAGTAGTCACCACCGTGTCACATGGTGGTGGTTAAAGCCACTGATACTGAAGCTGGGTGGCCGATTCCAGCCACCACCACCCTCTAGCTGTGTGATCTAAACTTTCCATATCTGCGCCATCTGTACACTGAGATCATCATTGGCACCCAGGTCTAGGAATGGCTGGGGACACAACCAAGACACCTACCTGGCAGACCGAATCTGCACTAAGCACAGCTGTTGGGACCACCACCGGTCCTCTGGGTCCTCACACCTGGCCACCTGCATTTTCCAGATGCTGTGGCAGTGTCCACACAGCAGGCCATAGAGTCCTGTAGGCCAGACTTCTGTCATGTCAGAATGTTGGCTTAATCTCTCTGTCTCAGTTTCCCCAGCTGCAAAATGGGGATGATGATAATCATGGCCGCTTGTTAGGGCTACTGCAGGACTCACAAGAAATCACACACCAAAGTTCCTTGCAGAGCTGGTGGGACGGCTCAGCGGGTGAAAGCATCTCCAGGACCCACATGGTAGAAGGAGAGAACTAATACCCCACACGTTGTCTCCCCGACCTCCGCATGCACGGTACCGCATGTGTGTGCCCGCACATGCCCAATACATAAACAAACCAATAAATGTAAATTGCTTGTTTTGTTTTGAGACAGGGTCTCACTCCGCAACCCTGACTAGCCTGACCCTTACCTTGCAGACCAGGCTGGTCTTGAACTTGAGAGGTGCCCCTGCCTCTGCCTTCCCGGTGCTAGGATTCAAGGTATGCCCATGCACCCCCATGCCCAGCAAATGTAATTCTTTCCAAGTTCCCTGTAAGGAGGATGGAACAGAGTGAGGACTCTGTATTAGTTATTCTTCTCATTGCTGTGACAAAAATGCCTGACAGAAGCAGCTTCAAGATGGAGGGTTTACTCTGGCTGAGCTAGAGGGTGGAGTTCACTATGGTGGGGGAGGCATGGCAGCTGCAGCGTGAGGCTGCTGGTGGTGTGCCCTATCTACCTAGCACTGACTGCAGAGCTGCTCCCTATGGCCCGGTGTGAGTGTGAGCCACTTGGCTGTGTTGCATCTCCGACACTGCCTGCCAGGTCTGCTGAGAGACGAGACTGGGGCGGGGGAAAAGGGGGTGGGGGGGCTGCCTCTCTCCGTGTCACATCATGGACACCCTGTCCTGGGCATGTGGAGACAGCTGGGATTCTCCCTTGCTCCTCCTGCTTCTCTGGGCTTGATACAAGAATGGATGTCACAGGGCATGCATCTGAAGTGCCAGCAAATCTACAAACCCCAGGGCGGGGTGGGGTGTGGGGGGAGGAAGAGGTGATAAACACGGAAGATGAGTGTGGGCTTAGCCCGAAGGTTTTCCTCTCTTCCCACCGCTTCTGCTACATCCCCAGGGAGGGTGAGGAGGCTCTGACCTGCACGGGGCCACATAGGAAATGCTTCTGTCTTAGGAGATACAGCCTTCCATCCCCACTTCTTTGTTTTCTCCACTTTCGGGCTACCTGCCTACCCAAGGGGCTGTCAGCCTGCCATCCCCCGGGTCTCCACTGGGCCTGTGCTTGCTCAGGAAAGGGATGCTGGCTCACATCCCCCAGGCCCTCACTCTCCATGGTACACATTGTCTCCTTCAGTCCCTCCAGCACACTGCATCCACTCTGTCAAACCAGGGGGCCCAGAATCTCTACCTATTCTATGTTATGTGCTAGCCACCTCTGCTCACCTTATCTACCTAAGACTTGCTTCTAGCCCTAGGGCAGAAGGCTGGATGTGGGGTCTCAGGCAAATGAGATGTGCAGACCTGTATTATCCATGCAACTCCTATTCAGTCCGATAGCAAGAGGCCTATATGGATCCTCAAGTGTCTATAAAAGGGGAAACAGAGAGATGATTAAAAAAAAAAAAAAGGCACAGCAGGTGGGGGAGGTGAGTGGGGAGGGAGAAGAGAGAAGGCCTTGTTGCCAGGCAATCAGGCCTGCTCAAGGCCTCTCCAGGCTGTTTGCATATCAATGAGCAGCCCATATTTAGCACCAGAGTTGGGGCACCCACACAAACTGCATTGCCTTCAGGCTGCCCATCTCTGAGGGCTCAGCCTGGCTTTCTACTGCTCACCAGAGGCCCTGGAAGGATTGGAAAGATCTGCCACCCACCCTGGGCAACTGCCCCAAGAGTGCACCCCGCCCCCACAGTCCAACCTCTCAGGCGGATGCTAAGAAACCAGCACCCGATAGATGCCAATTCAAGGACCTCAGGGCAGCTCAGTGAGGTGGTGAGGTTGCCTGCACAAACAGGAAGCTGCACCGGAGCCAGTTCTGTTCAGATGGGCACTGGGAGCCTCACATAGTCACTGGAGCCGGTGAGAAAGTTCCTTAGACGCAGTTAGTGGGCAGAAGCCTGGGAACACCCACAGGCAGAAGTGGGTACATGTACGCAGGGGTGGGATAGAAATCCACTCTTGGAAAACTATGCTCCTGCGCATTCATTCCTGGCCACGTGACGCTGTCAATGCAAAATCCACAGCTTACCTCTCAAAGGGAATAAGAGATGGTTTATTTTGAAGCTATTTTGAGCCACCATGGGCCAGGAACATAAATTTTGGTTACCCCCAATTTCATATTACAACATGAAACCAGTTTCATGAAGTTTTTATAGTTTCACAAAATAAAGAAAGTCATAAATTAAGGCAAGTTTAAAATACATTGGCGGGTACATCAAAGAGGTGGGTACAGTAAGATGGGGAAGCTTTTCTATAGGCCCAAGATGCTTTCCGAGCTTTGGGGTTGGTGGAAATTAGTAATGAGCTAAGTGAATAGATTCTAAAAGTTTATCCATTAGTCACAGGATATTAGTCCTGACACAGAGGTGGGCAAGGAGTGGCTGTTCCAGAGGGCTAGAATCTCTCCACCATTCTAAAATGTAGTCAGTCTCTGCAGACAGTTGATTTTCAGGAATGCTGTTCACAATGCCTACACATTGTATAGTCCTGACCTCTGTTGGTACAGCAACATGAGCTGGATCACTGTAGATGCTCAGGGGTTGCCATCAAAGTCATATTGATAAGCCTGGGTCTAGAGTCTGATGCCACGTTAGTGCCCGCCAAGCTCCAAAGAGGTAGTGAGTGAGTCAAGAAATTAGTGGCACCATTAAAATCTACTTCCCAGCCCCAGCTCCCGGGCTGATTTGCATGCTAGCAAAAGCCTCAGTGTCTGAGATGTGTCCCCAGAGTCTAACTCTGTGAGGAGAAGAGAAGGAGCAGAGGTGAGGGCCATAGGGAAGAAAGAGGCAAGGAAGCCGGTCTCTGATAATCAGCACACCAGTCCCACTTGGATGATGCCTTCAAGGCCACCAAGTCTCAAGGCCTCATTTGCATGTGAGAAAAGTGATAGAGAAGACTTACAAAAGAGGAATAAAGCAAACGATAAAAGAAGAAAGAAGTTCAAAGGGGGCTGAGGGAGGGGAACAGTGGGCAAGGGGGACCTGAATGCATCTACTCCCCATTCAAAATACAGAACTCAAAATGGTTGTTGGGAAGGAAATCACACGTCATCCAGGGTCAGCCCTGAAAAGATGGAGGAGACTGTCATCCTCAGAGCATCATCTTAAGAAGCACAGGTACACGAAAGGGTTTTTACAGAGACAGCAAGGAGACACGATGGGACAATAGGCAAAAACTCTATGCACTGAGCAGGGTCCTGCTCTTGGAACCAGCCTGGGCATCCTGGATCGTTAGACATGCATCTTAGTTTCCTACAATGCAAAGCTCATAGCGGTTTACTCACTTTGCCAGAGCTGATGCACAGGACCGGCATAAGAAGGCTATTACCCACACCCATTCTGGTGACATCCAAAGATCGCGAGACTTCTGGGTTCTATGAGGCTAAAGAAACATCTTAATCATGTAGGTGCATTTTTTTCTTTGGGATTTAGGGAACAGTGCGAAGGGAAAGGGAGCAAAAAAGGAGCTTTGCCAGGAAGCACTCCCAAAGGAGCCACCAAGGTGCACCATCAGCCACCTTGCACCCCGTGGGCTTGGAGCCTCTGGCTCGCCTGTCCTGCCATTCCACCGCTGTGTCAGCAGATCTGCCTGAGGGACCAACAGACACAGCCCTTCTCCAAGGGGCTGCTGCCCAGGCTCTGGCTGGGGTCTTTGAGAACCTCGGGCCAGAGCCAGGTTCACAGCGGGCCTTCTACAGGGGTGGTTCACTCCTGGGACACTCGCCTTCTTCTCATTTTCCTTTTTGTTTAATGAACACATCTTCCTTTTTTTTTTTCTCTAATTAGGTGGAACAAACAACTTGAACCAGAATTTTTATTTCCCAGAAAAGCACCCGCCTGGACACAGTAAATATGTCATTAATCATCATTCCGAGGCGGAGGAACACGCTGGGCTAGGGAGGAGGAAGAGCAGTCAGCAGGCCTAATTAGAGCTAGGCCTCCCAGCTCTCTCCCACCCCCACCCTCGGAGCCCCACTCCCCCCACCAAGCCCAGAGTCCATCCCTTGGAGGGGTTCTTGGCTGAGTCAAACTTATGTAAATGTCCCTTGTTAGCACCTCAGAAAAGGAAAGGAAAGGATATAGAAGAACAATACTCGCCCTACCCCCTCTCCTTCCCTCCCCTCCTCCCCGCATCCTACCCGGAGGTCTTATTTTCATCCAGGAAATTGTTCTTATTATCGCTTAGCTATTTATAGAGGTGGCGAGGTCTGCTGAGCAGCCCCAAGCCAATGTGGTAATAGGGTGCCGGCTGCAGCTCCCTCCACACGCTGGCTTTGGTTTGGGGGCTCAAATAGACCCCATCTAACCCTATTCTGGGACCTCCAGTTGTGCCTCTGGCCTAGAAGTTGCCCTGCAGACCATGGGCTACGAAGACTGGCCCTTGGACTGCTGGATCAGGCCACATCCCTCTCGGTAGCCCCTCTGCCCATGGTTAAGAACAACACCCCTTCTGCCCAGATAGAAAGTACTAGAAGGCTTCAAGCCACAGAGCCTCAGTCTGGCCAGTTTTACAATTCCAGGAGAAAGTGTGGGGCTGCTCTTCTGCTCTGCTGTCCTTTTCTGTTATAGACTGGCTTGACCTACAGTAGCAGCCACGTTAGGCTCACACCAGGTTCTACTCATCCCAGAGGCCACAAGCTTGGCCCCAAGTTAAGAAGGGCTATGCTGAGCTGAGGACAGGCCCAGGCCAGGCGTATCAGAGCATCGGTCCTCAGGGGTACCTACTCCTAAGTTTGAGTTCCAGTTTGGCCCAGGAGTTCGCTCTGAACTCAGCATTTACTTGCAAAATACTGATAATGTTTCCTCCCTGCATACATTCTGACAATGAGATAGAGGGCCATTGTTATTTTACGAGAGCTGTTCAGTAAGTAGTCATCTATTCCCTGGCTCCAGTCCAGGTAAAACAAGACTGACTGCGTCTGGCACCTTTCCCTGTAGGATGTAAAGTTCCTGCCCAGAGGGGAAGTCTTTGAGTCTAAACAGACTCCAGTGCCACCTGCAGTGGCCCTCTGCTTACAATCCCTCTTCTCTGTGTGCCTATCTTAATGGGCTCCTAACTGATAGGGAAGGGTCTGGAAAAAGGGACAGAAGAGTGAAGGGGGTGGCGGCCATAGTGGAGGAACTAGTTACAGGATAGCGCTCGGATCCAAGAAGAAAAAGCGAAGACCCATGGCTTGTGCTCATGTCTTGGGGTTTTAGAGGCTAACGGGTCTGAAGCCAAGCTGCCAACCGGGCTGCGCCGCTTCAGCGGTGCAGAGGCCCTCCTGCTCTCTCTAGCTCCTGGCTAGCTCCCGGCATTCCTTGGTGTGTAGCAGGAGTATCCTAACCTTTGTCTTCTGTGCCAAAGTTGTCTCCTTCCTAGGGAAGAACACTTCCGGGACTCAGGATGGTCTCATCTCCAATTCCTTAACTAACTAATCGGCAAATGAATGCCCATTCTAAGACTGGGGTAGACACGAATGTGGGGGGATGGGGGTTCAACCCATTGCAGAACCCTAGTACTACTTCTACCACTAACTTGAGAGTGAGTTTGGTAAGGTGTCGTCGTACCTTGACGAGCATTGCCTGAGTCCTCCCTCGTCAAAAGGAAAGCACTGGCCTCGGCCGACTGTGCAGTGGTGTGGTGGAGCTGTAATGAGATCAGGAAGTGCCATGATTTGGGAAGGTGCAAAGGCTTACATGGGGAAATAATCAAAGGTGGGCTCACAGAGACTGCTAACGTCCCCTCCTGAGCCCCTTCTTAACTCGGTGTTCCTAACTCTGTCACCCGTTCACAGACTCCTTCCTTCTGTCTGCTGCACCCCGTCCTCTTGCTTGCTGTGGAGAGTCACCACCACCAGGGGTAGAACACAGACGCCAGTTCGTTTTTAAGGAGGACCTACCTACCTACCTACCCAAGGCCTGCCTTCCACTAAGCTAAACCTGGTTACTACTGAGCTTTTGGCTTGCAAGTCAGGGCTGGTTTCCACACACCATGGCAATCTCTCTAGCTCTTTTTTCCTTCCACCACCCAGCGCCCAGCCAGGCCCAGGCTGTAGGGGAACTCCCCCAGTTCTGCATGGAGACTGGAGGGAGCCCCAGTTGCCCGAGCCAACCCTACCAATACATGCCATCCACAGCTCTCTCTTCTCTTCTCTGACCTGCATACGGTCTGTCTTTCTGTCCCAAGCCATGTCAGTTCAGTAGCACAAGGCCTTCTATTCCTTTACCACCTCTCTCTCCAGACTCTGCTTCGAGATGGCAAACGTGAGAGCATCGTCAGCACCCTCTTCATCTCGCCTGGAGACGTGGAAAATGGACAGAGTATCGTGTGCCGAGCCACCAACAAAGCCATCCCTGGAGGAAAGGAGACCTCAGTCACCATAGACATCCAGCGTGAGTACCAACGGACTCTGTCTGGCCTGGCCAGGCCCAGGGTTGGAACCAGCCCCATGTGAATGTGTGTGTGTATATGCAGGTTCACATGCCTTTTTCTGCATGGGCGCAGAGGCCAAAAGAGGTTGTCGGGTGTCCTCTGCTACCAACTCTGCCGATTCCTTTGAGGCAGCTTCTCTCCCTGAACGTGGGTCTTACGTTTTCTCTGCTAAGCTGGAAGCCTAATGGAGCTTAATAGCTCCAACAGTCCTCATTCCTCTGTCCCCTTTGAAGCTGGAGTTACAGGTGTGTGCGGGATGCCCACCTGGTATGTGGGTGCTAGGATCCCCAATCTCATCCTTGTAATGGCATGGCAAGTGCTTTCTAAATACTGAGCCCTCTCTCCAGCCCCCTAAATCTGAGGGATTTTCTAACAGCCTTGACTCAGTTAGGGCTTCTGAATTCTGTGTGCTACCAGCTCTCCAGAGATGTGGGGTCCATGGGAACTGTGCCTTAGGGGTCTCAGAGCCGGTTTTTACAGCCAGAGGGCAGAAGTTCTCTCTCAGGGCCACAAATCCTAACGGACAGCCTTTAAAGTGCAGAGGAGCCCCTTAACATTTGTTAAGTATTGGGTAGGGTGGGAACACCCTGGCCAAACAACAGCGTTTGGGGGAAGGCTCTACTTCTCACTATGTTGCCATTTGCTATTAACAACCCCACCCCCGCCCCCACCCCAAGGTGGTTCCTTCCATTCCTCACTCAGTGATAGTGGGGAGCCGCAGAGTTCTTACCCTGCCTAGGGCTAGGGAGATAAAAGAAGATGGAGAGAAACATCTAGGGCAATGCTCCTCCATCCCCTGGCCCTGATCCCACCCTAGGTCTTAGCATCACCCAGCAGGTGAACAGATGTGGTTAGAGCAAAGCCCAGCTCTACAAAGGAGGTAAGATGCTAGGTAAGATGCTAAAGGAGGTAAGATGCTAGTTCCGTGTGTGGTCCAGCATTCAGAACGGATCCATCACCATGAACTGGGTGGCTCTAGATTGTCACTTCACTCTGATAATTCCAATTTCTTGTCTGATTTGCCGATGCCATCCAAAGTCTCTTCCTAGTCTAAGAGCGATCCAAGCTAAGAGCTCTCTCACACACAAGCCAAATCCGGGGGAAATGAGGGTGGGAGATAATATGTGTCTAAGTCCCTTGTTCTTCCTGGCTGCCATTTGTGACACTGTGGCATGCTGTACTCCTGCCCCACAGCCCCACCTAGGCAGGAGGCTATGCCAGCTACAGAGTCCCATGTAAACATAGTTGGTTCCCCAGGACAGAAGCCAGGACCTTGGCAGAGAAAGATGGAAGAGAAACAACATTTCTGCTCCAGACCACTGTCCATTGCCCCGAGGGAACCTAGTGACAAGAATGTCATCATAATAGCATCCCACATACATTCAAATACATCCTTCCTCCAGATGCACTCCAGACAGAGAGCTGGTTGACCCGGCTACATGGATAACAGGGTTGCACCTGAAAGGATGCAGGAATGAGGTCAGCATGAGGCTTAGACCCAGGCATCAGGTTTCCTGGCTGGGATCCTTCCAAGGTAGTACAGAACAGTGGCTGGGATCCAACATTCTCCCTAGTTGAGTTCTGACTTTGGCTGTTACTCATTGGCCTCATTAGGGAATTGGTTTGGGTCTTTGTTTCCTCATCAATACATGAAGGGAATCACACCTACCTACCTCTTAAGGTCGCCGTTAGGATTAAATGACATCATTCGTGTCAATCCCTAGAGCCACGCATGGCATATTTTGATTAAATTATATGCTGTGGTTGAAATCCACAGTGACAGGTGTGTGGTGGCTCTTCCCCAGATGCCATCACAGCCCCAGGCATTTGACCCAGAGCTCCATCTCCCCTAGCTGGGAGGTGTCTACGCATACCTAAGAAGCAAAGGCCCAGCCCTTCTCCATGCCGCCCTCCTCCCCCCCCACCCCCGCCTCCCCTTCGTTCTCCTGAGATTCGTTTGCTCATTCAGTAAGCATCCAACTGTTTGCAGTGGACACCACAGGCTGGATCAGAGCCGCCTTTGCAAACCTGCTCATTTTCTCAGTCAACCACGAAGTCTCCAAACTCAGCAAAAGCACATTTGTTGTTTGTTTCCCTTGGTCTTTATATGTTACCCAACGGAAGACAAAGCCCCCAGATTGAGTAATGGGAGAGAAAGCGCAACACCCCCAAAGCCTCACCACATCTGGACTCTGTGTCCAGCTGCCAAGTTTCAAATGGATGTACTATAAAATCACTGAGTCATGAAGTTTCTCTCTGCTTCCCCCCAACACTTCCTCTGAAAATGCACATGTGCACGTACATACACACACACACACACACACACACACACACACACACACACACACACACACAGGTTGCTGATGGAAACACTAACAGACTCTCAGCTGTAACATCTGTTCAATGTGATCTCAGTTCCACCCTCCTGCAAGTTATGCATCCGACATCTCAAGTGGGATTAAAATCATGTTTAATAGTTGGGTATGACATAAACTATTTATACCTCTGGAATTTGGCAGACTCCTAGAAATTCACATCATACACATCCTGAGGAGAGGGATGGAATCAGGGACATGGTATCCCTGGGTCTGGGGGTAGAGAGGCAAGTGGAACTGACTGGCATGGAACCTCCTGGGTCTATTCTCCTGAGGCCCTCAGGACCAAGAGTGCTGCAAAAAGTAGGGGAAGAAGCAGAAGAAGCTTCTGCAGGGTGAACTGATAGCACAGGTGTGAGTGAGCATCCAGCAAGTGAGGACCCGAGGAGGGTCCTCCAGCAGGTACAAGCTCCATCTTCTTCCTTCCCAAGGGATCATCACTTTATAAAAAAACACCGGATGAAGGATGAGCCTTTGGAAGGCTCCCCGTGAGCTCCGTAAAGGGTTTCTAGAGATTTCTGAACTGACACCACCATCTCAAACAAGAGTTGCATTGAGATCATCTATCACCTGCCAGGACTGGATTTCACAGTGTGAGGCTAGCAATGCACAGGGGGTCCTGACGGCCATTAGCAAACTCCTCTGGGCAAACTTCTTTCCCAGGAGGGATGGTCAGCTTGGCCAGCCTGCTCTGCACAGGACTGTGAGATTCCTGAGTCAGCCTTGCCTCAGAAGCTGCTGGGAAACCCCTGGGAAGACACTGCAGGACTTGCAGGGGGAGGTGCTAGGAGTCTAAGAAGTGGGAGGAGAGCCCTCATGGTGGTCCCTTGCCACAGTGAGCCCTTGAATCTTGCTTTGAAAACCCAAATGGAGGTGGATGAGATACCTACCTGTATTACTCAGCTTCCCACCATTATAGCAAACACATGAGATAGTAAAGAAAAAGAAAGTTGGTTTCAGTTCACAGTTTGGGATGATCCACTTCATAATCAGAGCCCCACTGCTTTGGACAGGGGTGGGGTGGGGTGGGGGGTATAAGATAGCACATCAGTGGAAGGAGTGTGCTCCAGCAGAAGCGCTCACTTGAGGGTCAGGGAACAAGGAAAAAGGAAGAAACTAGGATCCCACAAGACCTCTCTTAGACTTCCCACTGCCCCCACCCTTCTCAAAGCTCCCAATTATGCCTCAATAACATGTCTCTGAAGACCATGACTCATTTAACCCATGACCCCGGGGGTTGGAGGAGGCTTAAGTCCCACACTATAGCACCATGATATTCCCTGTAACCCCAGATAAGAAGGTACACAGGTCAGCTGCTCCTATACCAGATGAGCCACCTGTTTACGGTCCCCCTTCTGGAACTAGAAGACATGTAGGGAGAATAGACTTTGAGCACAGGTGGCCACCTGCTGCTCAGAAGTGGGGTTCTTTCTGTCCCTGCTGATATTAACACAGCTCAGCCCCTGTGCCCTCACCCAGCACCCAATGTGAGCAGCAGCTCACAGAAGGGACCCAGCAGATAAAGGTCCCAACCCCCAATCTCAGTCCACAACTCAAGCATGACTCTGGGGGACCTTCAATAGTCCTGAGCCAGATGCCCAGAGCACCAAGCTAGAGTCTCACTCCCTGGGTGTCCCTCACAAATATCCTCCACAGCCTCTGAGAAACTGGCTTCTTAATGCTTTTTCTGAGGCTGAGGCTGAGCTGATCCACAGAAAGTCCTTGTGAACTTATGGTTCCCGACCCTCGTTGCCAGGCCCAGGCCCAGGTGATAGGAGCCCAGGGTGCTAGTGAGGCCATGGGGACTTAGCTGCCCTCTAACTCAGCCTGGAACTGCACTCCAGCCATGCTTCCAGGCCCTAGTGAGGAAAAACCCAGCCTAGCTGGTTGTCTCTCCCCCCTGCACTTTGGATGCCAAGGAGCTTGGAAGTGCTGTGCCAAGGCTTGGGATCTACAGGAGCACAGCATCAGGATGAGCCAGCCTCTGGTGGGGGATGGTGGAGAGTTGGAGGGTGGAAGGGGGGAGTTGGAGGGGGTGACCACCTGAGAAGGGAAAAGCCAGGCCAACACAAGGCCATTTCCTGGGCCTAGGTCTACCTCTCTGCATCTGCTACAGACTTCCAAGTCCTAGCCAAATCCCTCCATTCTCTACAAGTCTGTCTCTGTCTCTGTCTCTCTCTCTGTCTCTCTGTCTGCATCTCTCTCTCACTTGCTCTAGCTCTCTGTGTGTCTGTCTGCCTGTCTTTCTGTATCTCTCTCTCTTTCTTTATGTGTGTGTGTCTGTGTGTCTGTCTGTCTGTCTGTCTCTCTCCCCCGCTTCTTCCCTCTCCCCCTTTCTCCTGTGGTCTTCACTGTTCTGGACTCTTTCTCTCCAATGCCCTGTCATTTTCTATGTCCTGGGCCTCCCTGGCTTTCCTGCTTTCAGGCTAGCATCTTTGTCTGGGTATGTGTCTGTCTGCACAGCTCCCTCTCACTCTTTATCCCTCTTCCACCCCCACCTCTAGGTTTCTCCTCTCCTTACCTGTCTGCAGTCCTCAGTGGGCATGTCTGTGTGCCTTTCTGTGTCTCTCCCTGTCTCCCTCCCCTTCCTCCCGGCTGCATCTGGCTCTGTATCTCTGGGTCCGCTGTCCCTCCCTGTGGTCCTCCTCAAGTCTGTCCTCATGTCTTCACCTCCCCCAGTTTGCCACGCCCACCCAAACCCTTCCACGTGGTCTCTCTGTGGGCCCCCCAGCTCCCGGTTTCTGTCTCCTCCACCTCAGACCGTTTAGCACTTCAGAGCGTGGCTTCTTATCACGTCAGATGAGAAAACAGCTCAGGCTGCTGCGGGCCTGGGGACACCAGTCCGGATTCAGCAGAGATGACGGGCACTGATGAAAAGGTGTAAATGCCGCTTTCAAGTTACCAGAGGCCCCACAACCTTTACATGGAGATAATAAACAGACATGTCACAGACAGAAAGCGTGGACTGCGGGCCGAGTGCCCCTTCCCACCACTCTCCTCACGGGAATGGAAGGTGAAGCCAGGCTGCACGTGTCTGGGGCCTGGGAAGCCGGTGCACCAGAGATGGATGTCCATTTCAGTTCAGACCTTGAGTCACAGAGGGACCTGCACCCTGCACCCAGGCTACCTGAAGCAGCCACTTCAAGGGAGCAAAGGAGCCTCCTGCTGAGGCCTCCCTCACTCTCCGGGGATCCGTCACGATGGTCCCTGGGCGGTAGGAACCCTGGCTTTGCCCTCCATGTCTTCCTGCCCTATTCCTTCATCAGTCTGTATGTGAATCTCTTCTCCCTGCAGACCCCCCACTTGTCAACTTGTCGGTAGAACCACAGCCGGTATTGGAGGACAACATCGTCACGTTCCACTGCTCTGCAAAGGCCAACCCAGCTGTCACCCAGTACAGGTGAGCATCACTGCTGCGAAGACAGCTTGGTCTAAGGCTCCTCCACCCCCATGCCTGTCACGTGGGATGTCACACATGGCCACAGGATGTGCTTCACAGCAGGTGTCCAAATAGACTTCTCCCTCTCCCCATGCCAGCCCCACCTGCTAGCCAAGCAGACCCTCTCTTTCCTTCAAGCTCACATGCACTCCCTCTGCCAGGGAACCGGGGATGCCCCTCCTGTTTCAATGGCTTGTTTATTCTATATTTCTGAAATGACGGAGCAAGGCTCAGACAAATGTTGAAACCACTAGCAGAATGGGTAAGTCGGTGTACTTAGCCCTGTACAGCTGGCCAGAGCCCAAGGGGCCCCCGGAATCCTGCAGAGCCACCGCTCCAGCCTGAGTCCTCATCCACAGCACTGATAAAGGCATCACTGGTTTTCACATGCTTGTCTCCGCCTTCTGACCGAGTTTCTCAGAGGCAAGAACTGCAATTTAGTCACTTATGGCTCTCAGCATGCAGTGCATCGCGTGACATAAACCAGGCATTCCTTACATGCATCTGACTGATCAAACAAACCTTCGGAGCTGCTCCTCTGGGCAGCTTCCTGCCTGTGCATATCACCACACAGCATTCCAGAAACTAAGTGACCTCAGAGGTATCCAAGCACAGGTGTGGGATGCTCGCCGTTTTCGATGTTTTGTAGAACTTCACTTCCCACCAGCCCAGGCTTGATGGCAGAGCCCAGGACATCACCTCCACTATGGATATGAGCTATTAAGCAGCAGCTTCTGCAAATGGCATGAATGCTAATGGTCCCAGGCAAGGAAGGCAATGACTAGAGATGTGGAGGAGAGGGAAGGCATGAGGCATGAGCCCGAGCCGTCCCAGCAGGTGGAAGAAAGGGCAATGGGCCACAGAAGAAGTCATGGCAGGCTCAGGGTGGACACAGTGAACTGCTCTGGCTCCCTGTAGAGTGGATAATAGAGCAGCAGTGGGGCCAGAAATCAGGAAGGCCTATAGCCTCCCTATCCATCCCTCCTGAGTTAACCCTTGCCACACTGGAAGCCAGATGATTAGACAGCCTCTCTCTGATTCCCACCACAAAGGCAAGGAGCCTCCCACTCCCAGGAATCCTGTGATCCAGTCAGTTCCAGAGGCTGGTCAGGCCTGGATCTGGCACTGTCCAGAAGTGATAGAAGATGCAGAAGGAATGAAAAAAGTCTCTGGACTTCTAATGACACCTGCCATCTCTGTGCTTCTCTCCTATCAGCCCCCAGCTCTCAACTCAAGGTCCCTAGACAGGTATACTGTACCCAGGAGACACTTCAAATGCCAGCTCCCTTCTCATCCATAAGCATGATCCCCAGCCTGTCCATTGACCATCACAGCAATCCCCCAAATGCCTACGGGGCCCTAGAGACTGGAACACTCAACTCCCCATTTCCATGTTACTGGCAGACTCCCTGTTACCTGAAGATCTAGGGATCTGTTGAGCAAGCGTGGCAGCATCCCCCAGATAGTCAGTAGCCTCCACTCAAAGGCCCAAAGCCCTCCACCTGCCTTCTGACCTCAGTAGGATACCCAGCTGCTAGAGCTGACTCCCAGGACCACCTATCTCAAAGACACAGAACAGCCAGGATAAGGAGAAAGTGTGAGCCTACACAGGAAATACATGTGATCAAATGTGAACACCTAGCAAATTTAGGTGACGAAAAGATGGCGGCTAGTGGCAGTTACTAAAACTTTTCTTTCGATTTGAAATTTGAGTTTCTTCAAGCTAACAAATTAATACATGAACACGGAGAGAACATGCAATTTTCCTGGACCGTTGAGTCCTATAGGACTCCCTCCCTTCCTATCTTACCCTGAAGCATTTGAATCCCACGTGAACTCCTGGTGTAAAAGAGGGATAACAGTGGTTGGACTCCCCGCAGATGGCCACTGCTCTTATTTGCTACCAATTCTTAGGACCTTCTGATTAACGGGTGCTTCTAAAACCATAGCAGCACCAGCTTGGGCTTGCTCTAGGACTGAAAAGGCCTGGGGAGCCCTTCTGGCCCCCAGGAAGTGGTTGGAAAGCTGGGGTGGGCTGGCCTGGGCTGTTACGGTGAGGAGAGGTTTGAGGCTCCTGTCTACCCGCTTCCTTCCACCAAGGTCCTGCCAGCAGCCCACTTTAATTTCCCACGTAGCACTAGCACCCAGGAGGAAATGCCTTAAGCAAATCTTTAACATAAGTACATTGATATTTTTTCCCAAATGGCATTGACAAGATTATAGGGATCTTCGCTTCTTCCATTAGTTCATCTTGGTTGCTTCCTCCTTGGTCCACCTAAGAGGCTGTAATCTCTGAAATTAGACGTGCACCCTCTCTCAACCCTACCCTGAGATGGACCTGACTGGGCAAGGAAGCTGCCTTCTTCACTGCCGGCGGGGACCAGGGCCCGGGTTAGAGGACCAGGCTTAAGCACAACAAGAGGTGTTCTGGGCTTCATCTTCTGAAGGTCTCTGACAGATATGGGATAAAAGACCACAATCCCCCCAGATAAAGCGTACAGGGCTGTTTGACACACCAACCTGCCGCTGCGACATGTTGGGTCTCTTGATTCTGTGATATAAATAATTAATCCTCTTACATTTGTTCAGACCAAATTAGACATTGATTGAAAAGGCTTACGCTAAAGCAGTCTAAGGAGGGCCTGGGAAAGACGGTGAAGATGCCGTGGCGGGGAATGTGAGGGTAAGAAGGAAGCTGCTCTTCGGTTCTGGAACCCTGAGGCCCAATACTGGACTGAGATAGTCTCAGCCTGAGTGCTCCTGGAAGGGCCTTCAGAGAGCTGTTTGATATGTGAAGCCAGTAAGTGAGGGGAAGAAAGACTGGACAGTCAAGATATGAGCAGAGGGCTCTTGTCCCCTTCCCAAAAAGCCCTGGGTTCTGCCTTCTGAAATCCAGTCCTATAGACAACTCCCTCCTTCTCCCATGACCCTGAAACAGGAGAGTCAGAGCATCCTTCCTGCCTTCCCTCCTTTGAGCTGGCTCAGATTTTTCCTAAGGTGGAAAACTTACCATGGCCGGCCATATCCTAATTCTCCTTCTCTTTGGTTCCTTTGGGTGAAAAGAAATGCCCACTGGCCTGGAAGGTGCAACCACAGACCCTGGACTACTGAGCTACAGGCCTGCCAGGCCCCAGGAGTTCCAACAATCAGATCCTGGGGAGTATGACCTTCCCTAAGCTCCGCAGTGAGGGTCCCAGAAAGAGAATGAAAAAGGTTCCATCTTCTCCAGGGTCCCCCAGAGAAAAACAGCCCGCCCGTCTGAACCAGTGCCCCTGGGCACAGGCACAGGCCCAGCCCCCGCTACATGCTATAAGTATGAAGTGCAAGGAAAGCTTACCTGGGCCTCTCCCCACCCTCCTCTCAGCCATCAGCTCCTCACCAGGCTCCCCACCACGTATAAGCCCTCCCTCCGACAGGTCGGAAGGAGTAGAGGCTGGACACTGATCCCCAGCTGTGTGTCTAGAACGGAATTAATCCACCTCAGGCAGGGGCCGTGCCTGACTATTAAATCTGGTCATTAAATTAAAGTTAGGAATTGAAACGACTCATGAATAACTCATAATGGTTTGCTGGGAAGCTCCTTAAGCTCTCGGGGAGCTATGGTTCGCTCTGTTGTTAAACTATAATTGTTATTATTAATTGTGTTCCTAATAGTTACTCGATATTAATTCGAGATAACAATTACATGGCGCCAGTCTAGGTGTTCCTTGGGATGTAGAGAAGTGGCCGTCTCTCTAGGGGCTAGACAGGACACACTGAGTGAAGAGCTAGTGGAGAGAGGGAGGAGACAGAGTCGGTGTCACCAAGAAAGGGCCAGGAGCAGAGGAAGGAAGGGCAGAGAAGCAGCAGTGGAGCCAGAGGTCTCTCCAGCTCTGGAAACACCTCAAGACAGGCTGCAGATCCCTGGGAGCCTGGCTGGAAATTCTGTGTTTTCAAAGAATGAATGTTGTATACAATACATTTAAGCCAAGGAGCTGTAAATGCTTTTCCTTTAGAGGTCTGTAATCTACATGTACACAAGCACACACACATATACATTCATACTCACACATACAAACCCTCATAGGCATGTACACATACACACATGCACATACACCTGCACACGTGCAAACCCTCACATACACAAACAAACTCATACACATAGACATACACACATGCACTCATATTTGCACACATGCATACCCTCACATGCACATGTATACACATATGTAAATTTTCATACTTTCACACATTTACTCACCCACACTCATGTACAGATGTGTGTGTGCATGCACATACACCTACACACATGTAAACCCCTTATATGAGCACACAAGTACATATCCACATTTATATTCATGAAATTCCTCCATGTACACAAGCACACAAGTACATACTCACAAGTGCACACAGGCAAACCTTCACGTACACACATAGATGTGCATTCTCACACTTACAGATGCACACACACGCACACATGTATACATATTTAAATTTGCTCATATACAAACCCCCTCATGTACACATATACACACATGTACTTGCACATACTCACTTGCACACAAGCAAACCCTCATGTACACATAATATACATATAGGCATCCATGCAGGTACTCATACTTGCACACCACACATGAAAACCCTCATGAGCATATGTGCATACATTACGTGTGCTTTTGCACATGCACACACACTCACATACACCTTTGTGCACATGGCGGTCACCTGGTGGCTGCTCTGATATGGTGATCACTAGCCCAGGACCGAGACCAAGCCTGAAGCCTGAGGCTTTTTGGTCTCTTCCTTTCAATATGGTACTGATCAGCTAGCTCATGAGAGAAACTTTCTACCCACTGGTCCCCACCCGACCAGGGCTAATGGGTCTGTGGCCTCAGAGGAACAAAGCCAGGGGTGGAGGGCAGAGTGGATAGTAAAATCAAGTGCCGACCCTAGAAGGAAGGCTGAAAAGATTTACAAGAAGACAGAGGCACGTGAGAGATCTGTGCGGGGCAGGTGATAGGTCAGAGGCAAATGAGAGCATAATGTAGGGTTTCAGTAACCTCATCCTACATCTTCTTGTCTGGAAACCAAACTTGTGTGTGTAGGGAGATGCACACACGCGTGTGTGCAATGTACATGCGTGTATAGGGCATGCATCATTAGCTCTCACCTCTGATGTCATGCACTCAGTCTCCCCACTTTTCCTACATGGTCCAGGACAGGGCTCAGGATAGAGCTCAAAGCAGTATGGCCAAGCTGTCTGGTGACTGAGAGTTGAATTAGCGAATGACCTGGATACTATGGAGTGATCAACCAGGTAACTGTCACCTCCAGAGTGCCTTACTTGTCAAGTGACTTACTTGACTGCGTGGTGACCATGGCTCAAAGCCAATCACCTGCATGACCGTGTTGTGGGTACAAGACCATCCCCTCCTCATTTTCTTGAAGGACGGGTATGTCTAACTTCCCAAAGGATTCCCCCCATAGACCTCTGGCCTCCATTGCAGGTGGGCCAAACGAGGTCACATCATCAAAGAGGCATCTGGGGAGCTGTACAGGACCACTGTGGACTACACATACTTCTCAGAGCCTGTGTCCTGTGAAGTGACCAATGCCTTGGGCAGCACCAACCTCAGCCGCACAGTGGATGTCTACTGTGAGTGTGGGGACTCGGGAAACCCTGGGGAGTGGGCAGTGGGTGGTGTCTGTCTGAGACTGTGGCTAGCTTCATCACCCACCATCTAGTGTGCCACATTTTGTGCTTACAGCATCCCCTAGTACCACTCCCACTTAGATCTTTGACTGCCCAAATGAGGCAGTACCAGCCCAGAGTGCAGTGACCAGTTCCCATGGACTGGGTGGGCCGACCAGCAGGAATCAAGAGCCAGCGTGACTGTTCTAGAGCCCTTGTATCCCAGTCACCCCCCAAGGGCTCTACCTCCTAATGCGTCCACACTGAGGGTTTCAACCTATAATTCAGAGGGGGACACGAACACACAGTCCATAAGTAGACCTTATTCCTACTACCAAAATGAGGGATGTGGACACTCCGCTGCACAGAGTGAGTAGGTGGCAGGGTGACTCATGACTTTACTGAGGCCAGACAATGACCAAATCCATCACTTGTACACACATACACTGCACTGTCCCACTGAGGGGACTCATAGACAGCCCCCTTTTCTTACCAGTGGCCCAACAGATGAGGCCAACCTAGTCTGAGGACTAGCTAACTGGATACATACACACCTGTGATCCCAGCACTCACAAGGCTAAAGCAGGAAGACTGCCTTGAGTTTGAGGCCAGGCAGGGCTACATAGTGAGTTCAAAGCCAGCCTGGGATACATATCATAGCCATACACATAATCAGCTCGCAGACTGCCCATTAGGTTTAAAAGCGCTTTCACAAACTTGGCATTGCCTGGCTCTTTCATCCCACAAAGATTCAGCAGATGTGTTTTCTTTATCTGTGACATCATGAAACTCATCTCTATCTCCCAATTCCAGAAATCGGGCTTTGTCCCCTCAAAAAAAAAGTGTCCTAAGGCCTTCCTGGGCAGCTTTCTGAATACCCCAGCCACTGTGTGAAGCAAGGCTTGCTCTATAGGCCAGAGTGTTGGAATAGGGCAGAGAAGGGTTCGCATATACTTAGCAGAGGTGTCAGAAATGGGACTAGAAGCTAGTCTACTTCTAGAAGGCTAAGAAGGGGTTCTGGGGTATCTGGATAGAAGACACCCTGAGAGCACCTGGTGGAAGACACCCTAGAAGGGCTCCAGTTGGGCCACGTCATTTCATGTCATGGTCCCAATGCCCAAGATTTCTAAAGCAGGAGGTTCCCTTAACTTTCTGAAACCAGCCAGATCAAGGACAAAAAGAAGGGACTGCGAGGTAAATCAAGGTAGAAATTGGCCTCAGTTCATTCATCCTGTGGCTGGTACTGCCTGCTCTGTGGACCTGAGAAAAACTGAGCCTGGAGAGAAGAGGTCTCATCCTCACTTCCGGAGTCCTGCTCCCGTACCTCAGGGAGTGGGCTGAAGTGGACTGAGGTGGCTAACCCAGCGCCTCCCTTCTTCCAGTTGGGGTGGGTGAAAAGAAGAAGAGAGTGAGAAGGCTCCCCAGAGCTTCCCCCATCCCTGAGCCCGTCTCCTCTTTCCTCCCCATCGCAGTTGGTCCCCGGATGACCTCAGAGCCCCAGTCGCTGCTGGTAGACCTGGGCTCGGATGCTGTCTTCAGCTGCGCATGGATCGGCAACCCGTCTCTGACCATCGTGTGGATGAAACGGGGTTCTGGTGTGGTGAGTCTTCAGACCAGGCTCCGGGGTCCTACGGCAGAAACTGGGGGAGAGATAGCGGAGCAAGCAGGAGGCTTTGGGGGGAGTCAATCTCTGTAATAAGCCAAAGGGGTCCCAGAAAGAGGAACGGGAACTCAGGGGCCTACCTGTACCCATATCACTCTGAACACACTCTGCCAAGGGCAGTTTGCCCTGGCACTAGGAAGACTTCTAAACTCTCCCTAGACAAACTCACCCTTAGTCTTAGCACGATGTTTTGGGGACAGGCAGAAGGCCCCAACCTTGGGTAGCCTATTATGTTCTCTCACAGTTACAGCGCTGTTCCAGGTGGTGTCTTTGCCCCCGTCAGATGGATGAGCCTCTGAGATAGTAACTGACCTATACCATGCAGGTATTCGGTGCTGGAGCAGGAATAGCTAGTGTCCAAGACTACATTCATACCTCCAGCTGTCTCCCAAAGGGATAGTAAGAATGACTCTGAAAACCTGGATTCAAGGACCCTCCACATTCAATTGTGGGATCATTTTACCCATGGGCAGTTGGGAGGTCGCAGGAGGGTAGCATCCCTCTTTCCGTATGAAGAAGCCGTGGGTCCTCGGTTAGGGGGTCTCACACTTCTTCTACCATGCACTATCCCCACAGGCCTGCATCTGGAAGGGGGGTCCCCATGTGTGTGGGGGTGGGGGAGTCTCCTCTCCAAAGCCTAAAGGGCACTGTCACCTTAGTGTTTCCAGAGATGCTGGCCTCTGTGTCAGCCATCGACCCCAGGCGGAGAAAGCCTTCCTTTTCACGCTCTGTGACTGATCCTCCTCACCTCCTCCTAGGTCCTGAGCAACGAGAAGACTCTGACCCTCAAATCTGTCCGCCAGGAGGACGCTGGGAAGTACGTGTGCCGGGCTGTGGTGCCCCGGGTAGGAGCTGGGGAGAGAGAGGTGACCTTGACTGTCAATGGTAAGGCTCGCACGCAGACACCATGATGGGAGGCGGGTGGGAAGAAGGGGAAGGACCCCAGAACCAGGCATTGTCCCCAATGGGTGGTCACTGACTCTAGGCATTGTTGCCCCTAACATAGCCGTTCCATCTGTCTGTGGAGGTAAAGGCAAGCTGGTAAGTTTGTGGACACCCTCCTCCTTTTCAATACCTTCAAAAGGATCTCAGTCGAGGAGTGATTAGGTGCTGAAATTTTATCCTGGCCAAAAAAAAAAAAAAAAGTCAGAGGTTACAGGCCTTTGTGTGAGGCTTTAGGGCCTTGACCTGAAAGCAGGGTTTGAGCCACGTTCTGGAAATGAGCTCAAGTGACTTTGTCTCAACCTGGGAAGCCACCCATGGAAAATCATCTATTCTCCCCCTTTGCTGGAAAACCAAGCCCAGCCTGATGCCTCCTCAGCACCCCTCCGCTGTCCCCATTACCCAGCTCCTGCCCCGAAGTTCCTCTTCTCCTCTCCTGCAAAGAGAGGCAACTGCTGCAGAGGAATGGCCAGTCTGCTCAATCTAGCCAGACCCCAGGGCATTCACACATCACCTATCCCAGGCAGAACCCAGACTCCCCAGCCCTCCTGCCTTGCCTGTGTGTCCCCAGGATGCCACCAATAAATTGGCACTGCAGGGCTAAAAATAACAGCATCTGATCGCGCCTCAGTATATCCATGGCAACACAGGCTGCAGCCTTTTCCTGCCGCACCGGGCGTCTGACACTCCACTCAGCGCGCCAGGCCACAGTGAATTCAGCAGCCCGCCCCACTGCCCGCTCTGGGGAGGGCGCTGAGGAGCCAAGCTGCCATGCCTATTGTCAGCTGTGACCTGGAGGCTAGGAACCCTCAGATTCACGCATGCCCACCAGAGTCCCCAAACCTGGAGCTGGTAACTGAGCATCTTTATGTCTGGGAGGAAAGGGTGTGTAAGGTGGGGACTGGCATTTTTATTGTTGCTCTAAGACATCCAGGCGTTTCCTAATGGGAACTTAAAAAGACTTTGGGGGGAAAGAACTCTCCCTTTGCGTCTAGGGAACACACACACACCTTAGGGGGACCCACATTCCAGTCTAGGCCCTGGCATCCAGCCAACGATTATCCTGTCCTTTTGTTCCTCTCGGCCTGCACACCTTTCCTGGGTTGCTGGGCGGAGAAGAGCTGAAGGAATCGGCAGAAGGAGGGAAACTGCCCAGGTTTATCTTCTGCTAGTCACACTGAGACTGGGGCCTGGATGAAATGACCCAAGGGGAGGACCTGCCAGCCTCCACCAGGGATGGCATTGTCTGTCCTCCCTGCAATTGGAGAACAGGTGGGGAGGTGGGGTGAGGCTGCTAGACAGGGGCCTGGGAGTCTAGAATGCACATTCCAGCTCTGCCAACCCCTCCTGTGGGTGACAGCCAGTCCAGTGGCCTTTGGGAAATGAATTGGCACCGCCATAACCTGAGTTGGCTCAAAGTGGGTACCCAGAGGAAGGGGAAGATGGCTGCCAATGGCCGATTGGCTCTCTGGGCCTGGTTTCCTTTATCCTGGTTTTTTGTTTTCTTTTAAGAAGCCCATAAACGCATATGTATTTGTTGACAGCTTTTAGAACCCTGTGAAGCCCTTTGGGGATTCCTAGTTCCTGGGAAATGAAAGGCAAAGATTTTATGGTATCATCACTCCTCAGCCCAGCTGCAAAGCAAAAGCATTACCCAGGGTCCTCAGAATGTAGGGCCGCTGTGGCTTGGGGCCAAAGGCTCCTTGGAGCTGAGGAACTCTGAGGAAGAAAGCAAGATTCAGCCCATCTTTAAAGCCTTCTGAGGGCGAAGCTCTTACCTTGCAGTCACCCATATCCTGTGCACCAGACAGAGCTATTTCCATTCTAAACTCAGAAGCCATCTCTCCCAATACCTTTTCCCCCCTTGGCTGAGAACTACTCATAGAAATGCAAATCTGTTTTAATTAAGGTGGTTAATAAACAGCAATTATGTTTGCAGCAATTTTTGTTTTGTTCTCGGCATAATTTTGCCTGTTCTCCAGATCTCTTGCTCCTAGCCATCTTTCCTCTGTCTGTTCTGTGGTCTAAATCCCAACCATCACCCCAGGGACTGGGAACACATGGGAAGGTTTTCATCCCCACCCTCAACCCCACCCTCGTCTCTCAACTGCCCAGCCCAGGAAGTTACCTGTAGATAAGGGGTATTTAACTGGAAGTGTCAGGAGACAGGCTTCACTCCAGATGGCCATTTCTTGGCTGCCCAATGTGATAAATGAGACTGGCCCTCAGAAGCTGACAGATCTCTCTCTCTCTCTCTCTCTCTCTCTCTCTCTCTCTCTCTTACTCAGAGACTGTCTCTTTCTGTCTCTCTGTCTGTCACTGTCTCTGTCTCTGTCTCTGTCTCTGTCTCTGTCTCTCTCTCTCACACACACACACACACACACCCCGAGTGGGATAATACTGGGTCAGGTTTGCAGCTGTGGTTTCACCTGGCCTGGCTGGGTGTGTATGTGGGGACAAAGAAGACATAAACTACAGGATCTTCTGAGACCTATATAGGATTAAGACTATGAGCTCAGCTAGTACACTTCCCCATTTACAGGGTAATTCCCGCCCTTGGTGAAGAAACAGCACGCTTTTCTTCCCTTCTTGACCCAGCAGAGACACCCTGTTTGTTAGGCAAGTGTGCCCTCTGCTGGACAACTGAGAAATGGCTTGAATCCCAGCAATGGGGAAGGCTGGATGGCATCCTTCTGCTCTTCCTTGCAATTTTCTCTCATACTGCCTTGACTCCCTTTCCAAGCTCACCATCTCCTTTGCAAAGCATTCCCCATCTGCAGATAGAATTATTCTCTCTCCTCTGAAGCCAGTCAGTACTTTATCTGCACCGCTCCCGTGGTATGAACACTCGCCACCTTTTATTAGTTATTTATACCTTTTGGGGATTCTGACATGGAAGCGTTCGATCATGATCCCTGGAAAGGATTATGACTGAATGCCTAATTTATCTTCAGGTCCCCTACCTCACACTCTGTCTGGCACACACAGGCCTTCTGTTAATGTTTGCTGGAGGCTTGGGTTGGTGACCACACTTCTGAACCCACCAAAGTGGGTGCCAGCTGGGGCTTTGCCCTTCCTGCTTCCCTGACATGATGTCATCTTTCCAACAGGACCCCCCATCATCTCCAGCACACAGACCCAGCATGCCCTCCATGGAGAGAAGGGCCAGATCAAGTGCTTCATCCGGAGCACGCCGCCACCTGACCGAATCGTGAGTGCTCCAGGGAGGGATGGTGGTGAGGGCACCAGCAGTGCACCTGCTCCCGGGATCCAGGGGGCACCTCTGCCAAAGCCTGGGCAGCCTGCAAATTGGTGCTGGAACTGGAGCCTCCCTTTCCTCCGTAGGGGGAAATGATACCTATCTGTGTCTTGAGAATACACCTGAAGACGAAATAGGGGGAGGCAGCCTCCTGTCTCAGAACAGGCAAGCTTGGGGGTGTTCATGCCTTCAAGTGCCAACATTAATGATTCAGATTGAATTAGGTATCCTGAGTGCAGGGAGCATGTGGAAACAGTAGAGGGAAGGGCAGCCCGTTTCTTTTCTTTCCTGGCCTCAAAGCCAGTGTGCTGAAATTGTAAACTGGGTGCAGTTTATGGCCCTCCATCCCTACATCTCCCAGAGTCATCCTCTTCAGGCTCTTCTGCTCCTAATGCCCAGGGATACTCTGTGTCTTCCAGATCCAAACGTTCCCTCTAAAATGACCACTGTGTTATCTTTTCTTCCTCCAACCTCTCCGCCTCTAAGGCAGACCACACACCCTCCATCATCTGCATGATGGGCTTTGTGTTGAAGAAAGACTTAAATTGTTTGATGTCTTATCATTGTGTGGGTAGGACATGGAGGTGGAGTAAATGCCCTAGTGCATGAATGGAGACCAGAGGCCAACGTTGTGGAGTCGGTTCTCTCCTTCCATATTTGTGTAGGTTTTGGAGATCCAACTCAGGTCATCAGGCTCATGTGGCAAACCTTACCCACTAAGCCATCTTCTCAAACAGAGGATTTTGCACCCCCAATCAATCTGAAGCTGGTAGCTGCTCCAGTATGAAAACAAAGAAAAGAGCATTTTTAGCACTTCTGAGGGAAAGTGTTGTTTTAGTAATCCTCTGCCCCATGATGGTGACTTAGTTCCTTTATATCACTGCAACAAAACACCAAGACCAAGGTAACTTACAAAAGAAAGCTTTTAATTGGGCTTACAGTTCAGAGGGTTAGAGTCCATGATGGCAGAGCAAGGGCATAGTGGTGGGAACAGCTGAGAAGGCAGCAAGCACACTGGGAAAGACACTGGTCTTTCTGAAACCTCAAATCCAGCCCACCGGGTGACCCACCTCCTCCACCAAAGCCTCACTTTCTAATCCTTCCCAAACAGTTCCACCAATGTGGACCAAGTATTCAAACATATGAGCCTATGGAGGCCTTCTCATCCAAACCACCACAGATGGTCTTGCTAAAAGACTGCCCAGAGGCCAGCTCCACAGAGCGACAGGGCTGGAAGGCTCTGCCTCAGATGGGCACTACTCTAATAAGAGCCTCTGTGTGCCAGAGATGCTGCCTAGTAAACTAAGACATTGTTAAAGGATTATTGCTGTTAAATGTTGTCTCAGGCATCTGGTTCATTTGCTGTCGGAAAGAGTCACATAAAATTGCAAATAATTGCACATAGTAACTATTACCTATGTCTCCCCATCCGCTCTTTAGTTTTTTTAATTATAAATATAACACATGGCCATTGTAAAACATCCCCTTCAATCACCCTTGAGCATTGTTATGCCATCTTTTTCTTTGTGGCTATTTATTTCTAGGCTAGTGGTTCTCACTAGGTCCCCTAGCGGCATCTGGCAGTGTCTGGAGACCTTTGGGGTTGCCATAGTGGTGAGGGGTGCTAGCCTGAGTGAGCAGAACCAAGGATTCCACAAAGAGCCCCACACCAGGAAGGATCTGGTCCAGAGGAAGGGAAGCCAGGCTCTCACCTGGGCCTTCTGACAGTGAACATGGAGTAGCGTTGTGTATATGGTTAACGTGATAAAGTTCATGCAAAGGCATCCCTGTAAATAAAGAGATGGAGCTGATGGAGCACAGAGTTCTAAACCTGTAGAAAGGGTGAGATGGTCCAGACTCATAACCTCAACAGTGGTAGGTGAAAACAGGGGGGTAAGCAGTTCAAGGTCATCCTGTTACAATGAGAGGTGGAGAGCAGTCTGGTAATAACCTGCCTTAAAGCATCTGTAAAGTCACTGTGGACCATCTCTCCAAGGCTCAGCACTCGGGAGTACTGGCAGGGAAGCCCAGACAGGTGGCCATGTGAAGGGCTACATTGCTGCACAAAGGGTCACTCTTTGCCTAGTGAATGTTTCCAGTGTAGAGCCACATAGGGTACCCTTCAGGAAAGGAAATATCCTTGGAGGTGTCCCCAACCTGTGTGGGTGTGCATGTACATGGTCAGTAGAAGGTGTATACATGCATTATAGGTGTGCGATGTGCTACATGCTGTGATGCATGTGTGCATGTGGTATGTGTGATGCACATGTGTAATGGTGTGTGTATATGTTGGAATGTCTGTGTTTGCATTAATATGTGTTCTTGGTATGCGTGATATGGTATGACTACACAATGTGTTGTGGTATGTTTATGTGTACATGCTTGATGGAATTCAGTGTCTGATGTGAGACTGTTTGTCATGATGTATGCATACGTATATGTATTTGCAGTATATGTATGTGCAGTATGTGGTTGGTGATATATGTATAAAACATATGGATGTTTGTATATGTGGTATGTGATATGATATGACGAGCATATGTGGTGTGGCATATGTTTATATGGTGTGATGTATATTTATGTATACTGTGGTACATACACACATGTACATTGTGATGTGATATGGTATATGAGTCCCTCTGAATACATGGCTTATGTCATGTGCACATGTACAAAAATGTTTGTGGTGTGTGTGTGCTTATGTGCATACATGCGTGTGATATGTTGCACATGTGTATTTTTTCATAGCATGTGGTATAGTATGTATACACTTGCCCATGTTGATATGTGTGTATTGAGTCTATGTGTTTTATAATGTGCATGTGTGGGTGTGTTTGTAGTGTGAGGTATGTGCATGCACACTTATCAGTGTGGACACATATGTTTGATGTGGTGTCTATGTACGTGTATGATAATGTGCTCGTGTGGGTTGTTTCTATTTGTGACGTGTGTTTAGGTTGGTGATAAGTGTGGCAGTGACTGTAAACATAAGCCTAGCTATGTCAGCATCTTGGAGGGGTGACACCATGGTCCTGGGACGGACTCTCCTAACCCTGCACAATCCGGCAGGCCTGGTCCTGGAAGGAGAATGTGCTGGAATCAGGGACCTCAGGGCGCTACACAGTGGAGACAGTGAGCACCGAGGAGGGTGTCATCTCCACGCTGACCATTAGCAACATTGTGCGTGCTGACTTCCAGACCATCTACAACTGCACAGCCTGGAACAGCTTCGGCTCTGACACAGAGATCATCCGACTCAAGGAACAAGGTGAGAACTCCAGGGTGCCCGGGGGACCGGGGAATGCAGGCCAGATCCAGGGATGAGGCATAGTGCTCTTCCTAAGTGCCACACAGTCTCACAGAGCTACCTTCTCCAGCAAGGGGCATTCGCCCCAGCAAGAGAAAAAAAACTACTCTGAGTGGTGGCCTCTGAGGCTGTTCAGGAAAGGGTGACCTCAGAGTGAGCTGGGTTCACGGTGGGGATAAACACCCAATGGCTTCCACAGACCCTGGCTTCCACACATTCTGCCCAAGGATGGACCAAAGCTGAAGCTGAAGGGCAGCGCTGCCTGTGACCAAAGCTGAAGCTGAAGGGCAGCGCTGCCTGTGTGAGGGGGTGGGGGCTGGGCTCAGAGCACTTGCAACCTCCAGGAGACACCTGGAGCTCTGTACCCTAGAGGAGACACTGGCCAATTCTGGAACACAGCGCAGCTGGATTTTGAGAGAGAGGAGGAAAGAAGTAAGCTCACCTCACTATGACCCGTCACTATGACCCCATATGCCCATTGCTTAGCTCCTGATCTTAGCTAAGAACTCGGTCTGTTGCTGGGCATGGTGGTGTGTGCCTGGACTCTCAGTTACGTGGTACGCTGAGGTAGCAGGATCCCTTGAGCCCGCACATTCAAGACCAGCCTGGCCAACACAGCAAGCTCTCATCTCAGAACAAACCCTAGAACTCCAGTCTCCATTGAACGTTCTCTGGCTCAGACTACCAAACAGAGAGTCCCAGAAAGAGGAGAGCCAGGCCAGAGAAGTTCGCTCAGCACATAGCAGCAGCACGTTAGGTCCCGAAATGGGCTGCAGATCTTCTGTCTACCATCACGTGCCCAGCCATGGGGTTCAGGGGTGGTGTTCAGCAGGCCTGGGCCTCCTGCTCAAAGGTTGGAAGCCCAGTGAGTGGTCCCAGCCAGACCCCTCAAGCCTCAGTCTGTCAGTCATGAGGTGGCCGTGATTGCACCCGCAGATCAAATGTCTCAGTGTCTCCAAACACCTCTTCCTAATAGGTACTGCTTTGCATAACGCTTTGCATATAATTTGCATAATGCCATCCACACATCATCCAAACCTCCCTGGTCCCCTGTTGCCTACCCTCTTTGTCTTCCCCTTGATGCCCTTACCCCTGTGCCCTCCTTTAGTAGACTCACCCACCCCCCAAACCTCCCCTCCAGGTTTGGCTTTTCTCTGACCCTATCCCTGTTCCGGAGGGCCAAGTCAGGCTGAATGAGCTCAAGTTCAGTTGGGGGAATCTGGATGTATGAATCAGTCCTAGAGACTTGACAGAGGAGGGAATCCCCCCCCCCCCATCACCCCTCCAGATGACCACCAATTCCCTGTCCTACCCCACCCTGGCCAGCCAGGCCCTGGCTGTGGACGCTTGCTTTATTTCCAAACAGGTTCGGAAATGAAGTCGGGAGCCGGGCTGGAAGCAGGTACGGAAGGAGCAGATGAGAACTGCCCGGGGATGGAGGGAGGGACTCTTGGCTAGTAGGGGAGGGCCTCAAAAGGGGGCAGGGAGGCTGCTAAGTTCTCTGTCCTCCCCAGGTCAAGGGCTTAGTGAAGTCAGAGCAGTGGGAGAAGGGACCCCAGACACCTGCCTGACGCCACAGCCCAGGGCTCCTTCCTCCCCAGGACACAGCTCCTGCTCCTCTCCCACCCCTGTCCTCAGAAGCCCTGGTTCCCATCCCTGCCCTGGCCTCCCTCTGCTTCCAGGCCCTCCCTGACTCTGCTCCTCACATCATCACCAGCTCCACATTGCTCCCTGGGGGCCTGGGACCTGTTTCATCCATGCTTGCTGGCTCCCCACCTTCCCTGCTCCCTGTATCCCCCATGGAAGCATCACCTCATCATCAAGCCAAGACTGCTGGACACTGCCCCTTCAGGGCTCCCATAGCAAAGTGGTCATCAAGCTCCATGGGTTGATTTGCTCCATCTTGACAACCGTTCCCCTCGGTACCCCCAGGCAGGACACCAGAGAACAGCAGGATGTGGTGAATCCTACTCCGCAGGGCTGGCCTAAGGCCTGAGGGTCCTCTGTCTCAGTTCTCTGCCCACACTGGTTGTCTGGCCCATGTCACTCCTTTAATTAGCTACATGTGGAGCCCACATCTCCTACTCCCTGGACACACATGCCCTTCTCAGGGCACCAATCTAGGTGGCAACCATCCCACAGAGGCCTCTGTGGCCCATCCAGAGGCAGCATGTAATTATGTGCCACCGAAGTCTTCGGACTCTCTAGAGGTCCAGGTCCTGTGGAGGCACTGACTCTCTCTATCTCTATTCCATACTCCTTCCTCCTTCAGTGCCTAAGACTCCCTCATGCCCAGTCCCCTTCCTTAGATGGAAAGAACCAAGCAAGGGAACCCCTCCCCAGTCCCTCTCAAAGGAATGCTCTGTCCAGAAAGAAGTAGCCTTAAAAGATGACCTAAGTCAAACTTCAAGAGGCCAGGACAGGAGACCTACCGGGACCTAGAGAGGGATGCCACCTGGAGGCACAGATCCCGTCTCCTTTGCCACTGCCTACCCAGGATGCACTCACCCCCTGCTGTTAACAGCTCAAGAAAATATGGACACAAATAAGCAGTGACCATCATTCTGCTGCCTCAGCTCTCTGAGTCATGGATGAAACGTTGAAAACCTGGGGGTTTTAAGAGAGTATGTATTGGTTCTGAGCTGAGATAACTAGCCCTGAGTTTTCCCTAGTAAACCTACTAGGAATCTCAGGAGTGCTAGATCCAACACAAAACAAAGAAAGGCAAACCACAGAACCAATGACATTTCACCAGGAACATCTGCTTGTGAAAGCCAGCTTGACTGAGATCACATCCTTTTTTTTTTTTTTCCTCAGTCCTGATTTCTGAGTCCAACCCCAATACCTCCCCTTTCAATCCTTGGGGTTTGCCATTCTTACCTCCTCTTGGTCACCTCCTGTCACCTCTGTAGTAGTCTTGGCCACTAATAGGTAGGGAACCTATTAGTGGCCAAGACTACTACATGTGTGAACCCTGGGGTGGTGAGATACCAGGTCTGTCTAATAGGTGCTCTCCCCCCGACACACACACACACACACACTTCACAGCAGCAGCTTGGGGACCAGAATTTCAGTGTTTCCTTCTCTTTGGGTAAACTGGGGTCAGGGAAGCAGAGTACTCACTTAGTATGCATGAAACCCTGAGTTTCATTCCCAAAACAGCAAGAGAAATAAAGAACAATGATGCTCTAACCACAGCTCCTGAACAAACACCTCGCCTTCTGCGGGTCATCCAAGTTGCACTGATGAATGTGGGTGGGGAAGGAGCTCAGGCATTCACAGGAATTCCCTCTCAGTGAAGGCTTTTGTCTGCTGCTGTCCTCCCCACACACAAAGCAACTGGGACAAATCCTTGATGAGAGCTGAGCCCCTGGCTCTGCTCCAAAACCTTTTCCCACATTCTTTCACCGAAAGCCTGTAACAACCTCTGAAGTCACACCATTGCTACTCCATGTTACAGATAAGAGACGAGGAGTAAGTTGCTTGGAAGGTGTGATGGAGCAGGTGGGCACAATGAGCAAGCAGCCTGGGCAGTCTGGAGCACATGACCTTTGGAGGATACCATGTGACACAGAGAACAGAGCAGGATGGGCTTGGGAGTAGTATGAGGAGACCTGGATTCATACACAGTAGCAACACATGTCCTTGAACAAGTCACTTGACTTCCCTGGACTTCAGTGTTTACCAAAAGAGAGGCTTGGGTGTATTATTACCCAATTTCACTCTGCCTCAGAATTTCCTAGAGCTGGTCGACTACCCAGGGCCTAAAATCATATGCTCAGGGCTCGTTCGCATCCACAGAAGGGGCAGAGCTTTTTGGAAAAAGTCTTCCTCCCCCACATCATCACCGACCATTCTTGCCTGTTCGGCAAGAGCCAGAGACAGACAGGCAGAGGAAAGAGCAAAGTGAGGAACTCTGGAGCCTTTGGGGCTAGAACAGGTGGTGGCTGTCGGAGGGCTGGCCTTGAAAAAGGAGTTGGATGTGAAGGTCAAGGAAAAAGACAGGGTCTTTCTCCTGAGCACTGTGGCAGCAAAGACGCTGATCGGACTCCCTGGTCCCAACACTTGGACATGTGGGTCATGGGTCCTGATTCCCAGCAGGCCGGAAGGGGAAGTTGCTTCAGAGCGAGTTGGTTGTCTGTACGTACTCTCCCGGAACCACAGAAAAGGAAGTAATGAACTGAATAAACAAGGGCAGGGACCATCACCATTTTTTTTTTCAAAGAAAAGCCATGGACTTATGACTCACCAGTCACTGCATGCATAACAGATCCCTTCCTTAATGCTGAGGAGAGCTAAATTCGCCTAGCCTCGCCCTGCATCTCCAGTTTCACCCACCCACCCCGGCCCTCCACTGTCTCTTCTAGCATCTGCCCCTTCCCCTGGCTCCTCTCTACTCTCCACCTAGTCTGTGTCCTCTACCGAGTCTCAACATTCCTGTGCAGAGCTGACCCTTGTTGGACTGTCTGTGCCTGCCCAGGCCCGACCGAGGCATTCCCAAGAGGGGCCCACATGGCAGTGGTCTGGCCCCAGCTTGGCAGGGGCTGCACCTGGGGGACTGGGTAGGATCCTAGCAGGACAGTAGGTTTCTTTGTCCCTCATCAGCCTTGTCTGTTTCTTTCCCACAGAGTCTGTGCCAATGGCCGTCATCATCGGGGTGGCCGTAGGAGCTGGTGTGGCCTTCCTCGTCCTAATGGCAACCATTGTGGCCTTCTGCTGTGCCCGTTCCCAGAGAAGTACGGGAGGGAGACCCGGGATCTCAGGGAGGGGGACAGAGAAAAAGGCCAGGCTTAGACTGCCCAGGAGAGCAAGTAAGCAGGAGTACAATGAACAGGGGTCATAACAGTGCTGTGAGCTCCCGGGGCAGGGATGGGTATGATGTGCTGTTATGCACCTGGAGGGTGTCTGGCAGCAAGTGGGAACTCCACTGAGGCTGAACCAAACTCAACTGGCCTCCATCTAGCAGGACAGGCCACTAGTGCTTTTGGTTGGGCACATAGCACTCTTATTTGGGGTGGAGAGAAAAATCTCAGAGGGAATGGGGTGGTTTGACCCTCCTTGCTCTGCAGACTGAAATGTTAACCTAAAAAGCAAGTCGCCCACACAGGGCACAAAAGCATGTGGAGAGTTGCTTCAGACACACCTTTAAAGATCTTTCATCATTAGCAATATAGTTCTAGTGTCAAGACACTCTTAAAGAACTGTCTGAACACAGGGCTTCTGCACTGGGCTCAGTCCTGGAGTTACATGTGATGGGCAGGTGTAAGGGAAAGGTAGGATGGCTGAGCTGAGCTGAAGATAGGAGAGGTGTGATCTTCTACTCTGTGACCCTGGGCAAGTCACACACATTTAAGGCCTCAGTTTCCCCATTTGTGATATTAGATGGTTGGATGGCATGACTTTTATGACTCCCACCAACTCTGAGCTTCTACAATCAGAATGCACTGAGTCACCAGAACAAATTATAGTCACCTGGTGTCCTTTACTGTTAGAAGGAGGTCACTGCTTCCTCTCTCATCTTCTCCACTCCCGGCTAGCAACCTTACCCAACAAGATGGCCTTGCAACCTCCCTCACTTCCTCCCCATGGAAATGATAGGAGAGCATATTCCAGTAAGACTTATCAAACAGGCTGCTCCTGTAGTTCAGGGAAGCTAGACCTCTGTGTGCTCCGGATTGGACGAGAGACCTTATGGCCGTTTTATCGTTAAGACTTGTGGTCCTAGAAATGGAGAGTTCAAATCCAGGTGGCAAATCCAGGACAGAGAAGACTTCTTGAAGGGAGTGGGGACTCAGGATGACAGGGCCTAGGTAGGTGAGGTGAAGGGATGATGAGGACAACCTCTCCAACCACAGGAGATGCTGAAGTACCTATACCAAGGAGCTAGGCAGTCTGCATGGCTAGCCTTTAAGGCCCATCCAGCCAAAAGTAGATCTCTACAGTGGCTCTATGGGTGCGGAACCCTCAAAACTTCAAATTCAGAGTCTGAGGGGAGGGTAAATCCTAAAGTGGGGTGGGGAGGGGTCAGCAGGGGGCCGTGGGGAAGCTGATGTCTCTTGCCTGAGGACGAGAACTGAATTTTTTGTCTATGCTGTCGTATCTTATGTCCAGATCTCAAAGGTGTCGTGTCAGCCAAAAATGATATCCGAGTGGAGATTGTACACAAGGAGCCAGCTTCTGGCCGGGAGGCTGAAGATCACACCACCATCAAGCAGCTGATGGTAAGAATGCCGTCTGTGCCCCACTCCATTCTGAGAACAGAAACTCTTTGATGCTCTCCATACTGCCGAGAGGCAACACTTTCAGGCAAACCCATCCTGCTCCAAGCATACACTCAGCCAATGAGCATTTATTTGTGCATCTGTGAAGTAATATAGGAGATTCATAGATGTGTGTGATGCAGTCCCTGACCTGGATCCTGACCATAGAGGTGGGAAAGAATCTGTGCTTAAATTTACATGTGGCTACATGCAGTCTTATACACACAGAAGGACAGAGTGGGGGGCATTATAGATATTCAATGCATTTTTCTTCTCTTCCCCCTTCATACACACATGCACGCATGCACGCACACACGCACGCACGCACATGCGCCTTCCAGAAGCACTGGTTCCTTCTTGGGGACTGGATGTCTACCAGAAGTAAATGCAAAGCTTCTCCAGCAATACCAAGCCGGCACCTCCTCTTCCTGATCCTCCCTTCAAGGACCAGAATCCTCCTCCCTGTCCGGGCAGAAGCCTAATCAGCTATGCCAGAAGCTCATAGAGCACACTATGCGTGATGGGACTATCTGGAAAGAGCGACAGAGAGCAAGGAATAAAGCACACCGGCTTCTCTGAACCTCAGTCTGTGAAATGGATGTGACCGCAGTACTATGCAGGGTCGTCAGCAGGATTTCAGGGGGAACAGCCTGAGTACATCTGTGCAGGATGTGATCCCATGATTCCCAGATACCCACATCTGAGGATGTGCAAGTCTCCTGTATAAAACGGTATATAACATTTACACAGGAACCACCCATATTCTCTCATAGACATAAATCATCTCTACTTATAATATGTAATGTAATATAAATGCAATGTAAACAATTACTGTACCATATTGTTTAAGGATTAATGATGAGTAGAATATGCATGTTTGGTACAGGCAATTTTCTCTAAATACTTTTGATGTATGGTTGGAGGAATCTGCTGTGCAGAATCCAGGAATGCAGAGGCCTGTCTGCAAGAGCCCAGAAATTGCTAACTGTTGTGTTGCTCTAAATCCACCCACTAGATGGGGAGCAACTGCTGCCTGATTCATCCCTGGCAGAAGCTCACGAATGCTTGGTGAATGAAACTGACTTTTCTCTCTGGTACACTCTCTTCAGCCAGTCGATTTTCAGATTCACAGCATTCTGCTTCAAAAATATGTCTCAGATATATGAACCACCTCTCCTCCATGCTCACGTTCTTCTTTGGGGTCTTGCCAGTGCTCCCTGGACCACTGCAGCAACCCCGTCATGGAACTTGGCTTTGGCCACTTGTCACAATCCAGCCTCTGGGGCCCTGCAAAAAGTGTCTTTCTGAAAGACAGATCTGGCATCTGGCGGCACACATCTGTAACCCCAGGTTACAAACAAACAGTAGTAGCTCTGTGACTTTGAGGCCAGCCTGAACTGGTTAATGAGACTCGGTCTCAAACTAAATAAAATATTAAATGTAAATCTGCTCCTGTGACAATCTACTGAAGTCCCTCTGTGGCTTCCATGCCTGCTGGATAAAGTCCAGCTGCTCAATACGTCATCACGCCCTTCGCTGCAAGGGACCTGCCAATCTTCCCAGTTCCATCTTTCAGGCAAACCGATCTGGCTTTTCCAGACATAAGAACGTGTGGTTCCTGGTCTGGGAGTCCTTTATACATCAGAGACCCATGTCCCCTCACCCTGTTGACCTGTCAGCTGAATTTCACGTCCTGCAATAAGAAGGGGTTCAAATGTCATCCACTCCACGATTTTCTCGGCTGCCCCCTCCTCACACAACGGCGAGCTTGCATCCTCTGCGGCAGTCCCCTTGAGCCTCTTTGACAGCCGCTGCTGGAGGACAAGGAAACCTCTCCAAGCACTCTGCAGCTTGTCAAGGGCAAAGGTCCTGTATCTCCCCTGGGGCCTCCCTAACACAATACCAACATAGCAGAGTGTTCCTTCACACAGGAGGGAACCCACAACCCAGACCTGAGAAGGAACGATGCTCCTTAAGCTTCATCAGGTCTACCCCTCAGGCCTAATGGATCCTTTAGCTCTCTCTCAAGGAGGCATTTCTTTTGTCTCAAAGTCAAGCCCTCAGGAAGAGGGCAGGTGTCCCTGAGTATTTTGGGATGAGCAGAGGGGGTAATTTGGCAGAAGGGACTTTCTGAGGCTCTGTAACTAGGCTCTCCCTTGGGAAAACATTCACTGGTCCTCCTCCTCCACATTGGGAGATCTTATACCCTATGATCTGGGGAATACTCCATTAAGGGGAAGTAGGCTTAGCTGTTACATCTGGGGAGAAAGAACAACAATCTAGATGGAGCCAAAACATTGACTGGAAAAATGAAGAAAAAAAAAGGAATGCAATTAGTGAGAGAATAACAGGATGAAAGCACGTTGGCCCATTCTGTGGGCCTCCAAGACAGAGATGCAAGAGAGACAAACAAAACACCCCACTCAAAGAGCTGGGTGGGAGCCTGAGCTGGAGTACTGCTGCTGGAGTGATGGTGCACCGTATGTGTCCCGGGAAGCATCCCTGTGCTCCCTGACCACTTTACACGCTCACTCTGCGCTGTGGAAGCTTTGGCCTGATCTTACACCCAGTCATTACTCTCAGTGAGCTGCTCACTTACTCAGAATACCAAGCATCGCACTCACCCTGGCCAGAAGCATTCTAGCCAGTGACCACAACATACAAGATCCTAAACCAGGTGTGGTGGGGATTGTAAGAGAGCGAGATCTCTTCCCTCAGGTTGTTTGGCATATGTTAAAACAGTTGCCCTGTGCATTTGAGTTGCTGCTGTAAGGAATAGATGTGACCTACTGGGTAGTCAGCTTTTTGTTGCTACGACAGACACTGAGAAAATCAGGGTCAGGATAGGGGGAATGGCTCAGCTGATATGGTGTTTTGACACACAAACATGGGGACCTGAGTTCAGTTCTCACAGAATTCATGTGAAAAAGGCATGCACCAGTAATCCCAGTCATGCGCGTGCGCGCGCACGCACACACACACACACACACACAGATAAATTAATTAATTAAATTAAAAAATAAAAGAGGAACTGTTTCTCTTGGCTCATGGTTTCAACCCATGTTCATGTGGTCCTGATGCTGGCAGACCCATGTCAAAGGCAGAACATCACAGCAAAGCATGCCTCAGAGAAGACTGTCTACCTTATGCTGGCCAGGGTTCCAGCGGTCTCTTCTAGGGCACACCTCCAGTGGCCTTACTTCCTTCTACTAAGCACTACCTCCCAACAGTGCCACATGATGGGTACCACGCCTTGACCACATGGTCTTTGGGGGGATAGGTCAGATCCAAACCATAGCACCTATGTTGCCAGCATCTCAGTGGGGATTCCTTCCAACATCCCAGCCCTGGTTGACAGACTGCCCTAAAGAGCCTGCTCTATACCCAGTGTTGATGTTCTGTGATTACTTGCTTACCTCTGGTGCATCTACATCTATTTCCCCGAGGAGCAGAGCTCCGTCTTTCTGCATCTTGTTCTGTATATACAGGGCCCTTAATGCATGGCCTGGCCATAATTTTTCAACAAACATTCAAGTGGGAAGTCTGGAGAAGATGTCCTTGTCCAACGGAAGAAAACAAAGCTTTACAATTATACCAATGCTTCATCCACCCTCCCCTCCTATCTCTGTCCTGGGATGAGGGTTCCCAGAATATTACTGAGGTCTGGAATTGTACCCTAACTCTCCCACCTGCCTTTCTGCAGTCCGGGCTGTGCAGGGTACACATATGGCAATCCTTGGAGCTCATTTCTTCGTCTCCTCCTGGGAGGCGATGGAGTTGAGCCCACCTTCTCCGCATTGAGTAGCCATTTTTGGGTTGTAGATGGACCGGGGCGAATTCCAGCAAGACTCAGTGCTGAAGCAGCTGGAGGTCCTCAAAGAAGAAGAGAAGGAGTTTCAGAACCTAAAGGTAGGAGTAGCCGCAGTGGGTTTGGACTACAGGGATGATGGCCCCATCCCTTTTGTAAACAAAGCACCACAGCAAGCAGAATGGAAGGGCTCAAGGCCAGCCTGGGGATGGGTGTCACTGTCTAAAGGGGCGGGGCTGAAAGTAGCTCCTCTTCTTGCCTAGACACTAAGAAACCGAGCTAAGGCTGGGTTCCTGCAATTCTCCTCTCCCACAGCCTTGTAACAAATAGATTTTAAAAATAAGTATTCGTGTTCTGGACAAACACATAAAAACAGTTAAAGGCTGCTTTTCCAATGATCTTGCATCACCCTGATGTAAACCAGGTCCCTCCTGACAAATGAGCATGTGCCAGGCTCTGCTAGCATCCTGGCCATGCTACCCCGTCCTGAATCCTGGTCAGTACCCTTCCTCCCCAATCCTTTCCTCCTTCCGTGCCTCCCCTGTGCAAAGCAGGACTGGTCAGCCCAGCCTCCTGCCACAGCCAGCGCAGGCTCCCTGGTGAAATGCCTCTTGTTCTTGCCTACCCAGGACCCCACCAACGGCTACTACAGCGTCAACACCTTCAAAGAGCACCACTCAACCCCAACCATCTCCCTGTCCAGCTGCCAGCCAGACCTGCGTCCTACAGGCAAACAGCGAGTGCCCACAGGCATGTCCTTCACCAACATCTACAGCACCTTGAGTGGCCAGGGCCGCCTCTACGACTATGGACAGAGGTTCGTGTTGGGCATGGGCAGCTCTTCCATCGAGCTTTGTGAGCGGGAGTTTCAGAGGGGCTCCCTCAGCGACAGCAGCTCCTTCCTGGACACGCAGTGTGACAGCAGTGTCAGCAGCAGCGGCAAGCAGGATGGCTATGTGCAGTTCGACAAGGCCAGCAAGGCCTCTGCCTCCTCTTCCCACCACTCCCAGTCCTCTTCCCAGAACTCCGACCCCAGTCGACCCCTGCAGCGGCGGATGCAGACTCACGTCTGAGGATCATGCACTGCGGCGGGGATGGGCCAGGGGGGAGGACAGGGCACATCGTCGTTCTCCAAGGACTGGGGCTACTTTGCAGAGGACCCTAGGACTGGCCGCCTCCAGGGTGACCTCCGAGCACCTCTGCCACCACCTTCCTCCGAAGCTCTAATCAAGCACAAATCTGTCTCCCAGGCAGGGAAATAAAGAGGATGCGGCTGAGTGCATAGTGCTCAGGGCTTTGGCCCTTGCTCTTCCCTAAAGGTCCCTCAGCCACCCTGTCCTCTCACAGGCACTAGTGGCAGCTAGAACTTTGCTTTTATGAAATTGCCGTCCACTCTCCTAGTTTCTCTTGCTGCCCATAAGCCATCCCTGGTGTCTGTATTCCTTACAGCTTTGGGGAACGGAGGACTTTTTCCCAGCGCTGAGTTGCTCCAGAGACCCCAGCTTTCCCACTGTGCATAGCCCATCCCACAGAGGCTGAGGGTTGAGAAATGACCCTGGCCAGCGGAGCATCGGCCTGGGCGCCCACCCCCGATTTGTCTGGTGTTTTGTGTCTATATTCTGTTCTTGGACTTGATGCCTCTGAGCTTGGGGGTGGGACTGGCCCGTTAGCCCTGTGTCCTCAGCGCTGAGGAAGGGAAGGAGGGAGAATGTGAATGCCTGGAGAAGACCTGGCCCAACACACCCTGTGCCGGACTGTACAATGCGAAGCCCTCGCCCTCACCCTCACCCCTGCTTCGTGTTCTCCCTTCCTTCCTGCAGCACAATCAAGCTGATATAAGGAGTGTGAGAACTTCTCTGGCCAGGGTTTGGTGAGCAGTTGCCACAGAGTGCTTCCCGGGAGGTGCAGATTTGAGGGCCTGAAGGACAGGCTGGAGGATGAGACAGACTCTTTCAGCTGATGAACACAGGGCACAATTATCCATTCTCCAGTGGACTGGACTCGCTGTGCAAGGGGAAACGTTTTTCTGCACCTCTCCCTCCCATCACTCCCCACTTAAGAATAAATGGTAGGGCCGTTACCCCCAACCAAGCTGTCCTGTGCTTTTGTTCCTGCAGAGCCACAGGAAGACCCCAAGAGTCCAAGTGCATTGTGGGAACCCAGGGGTGTTGTTGGTTTGGTTGGGTTTGGATGTTCTTCACTTCAGTTTTTCCCAGGCAGGGAAGGTCATTGGTGGGGCTGGTTATGGCCATAATAGAACCTACAGGTTGACTCTCTGTGGATGACATCAGCCAAATAACAGGTCTTGCCAACCTTGGTTTCTGCCAAATGCAGTGAGTCAATACCATCACTCTGGACACAGGCCAGATCCTTCTAGAATTTTGTCTCAGTAATATTCTGTAGGGGCATTTTCCTCTACTTTGGAAATAAGAAGCTGGCCCTCTTGAAAGGCCATTATCCACCAACAACACTCTAACACTCAAGTATAGGACATACACACACACATACACACACACAAGAGTTACTTTTTTTTTTTTTTTTTTTTTTTTTTGGTTTTTTGAGACAGGGTTTCTTCGTGTAGCCCTGGCTGGCCTGGAACTTGCTTTGTAGACCACACTGGCCTAGAACTCAGAGATCCACCTGCCTCTGCCTCCCAGTGCTGGGATTAAAGGTGTGCACCACTACCACCTGGCCAGAGTAAACTTCTAAACATCTTCATAGCAGACAGGATGGATAAATGAATTAGTGTTCTAGTACAGGGAGTGGGGTTCAAATGAAACTCTGAAGAACCAAATTGTCCTCAACAGCTTTTGACTCTTTCTCTGCAACCTTCTTGGAGGTCCTTACCAATCATGAGATCCTTCATCATCAAGTCTGTGCCCCTTCCACACACAGTTTCCTTGAATGATCCTAACCTTAGATCTTATGCCTAGCCTTCATAGCTACTCCACTCAGAGTAACTCTCTGCTTCAGTTATATTTCCTATTGCTTCAAAACTTTCTTGGTTTCCTTGATATCTTCCTCTGCAGTCCCCAAGCCAGAAGGATTAGAAACCCATTAGAAATGAAAGTATTCACTGGAGCCCTGCATCCTGCTCCTTGTACCATCTTGGCTTGTCATAGATTCCAGGATTGTTGATTCCTGTCCCCTCTAGGTTCATCTCAGAAAGCTTTCCCTCTTCTCATATGCATTTACCCTTTGCCAATGGAGGACGAAGGCCCACGACTACATGTAAACTGTCTTGATGTACTGGAATAAGAAAGGAGTGACTTAAGAGGATTGGCCTGTTAATTTCTCCCGATCTTTCCCACTTGGACATGGTGGGATAAGCTACTTCCTAATCCTGACCATAGCTCACTTTACCCTATACACCCCCTCTCTCTTTCTCCTCTCTCTCTCTCTCTCTCTCTCTCTCTCTCTCTCTCTCTCTCTCTCTCTCACACACACACACACACACACACACACACACACACACACACATACACACACACACACACACACTGAACTAATAGGGTAGAAGTATCCATTCTTTCCGGAATCAGGGATTATGGCACAATAACCATAGCAGGAAAGAAAACTGTCCCATGGAACAGAATGAGCCCAGCACCCTCTAGGACCTTGACACTCACAGAGAAAAAAAAATGTGGATAATCATAAAGGATGAAATGACAGCACCAAGATGACCACAACCAGACTAGACTGTATGCTGCGCAACTTTCCCGTGCACAAACACATTAAGAATTGCAGAAGAAACAGGTCACCAGTACACAGTGCTTGCAAGGGAGTACAACATGGACAGAAAAGCATACAGTGAACTGGACAATTTTCTGTAGGTGAAGCTCCCTCCACTTGCGGTTGCGGGTGGGGGTGGGGGTGGAGTTCTCTGGAGCATTGAGAAGGAGCCCAGACATGTTCATCTCTCAGTTGTCTCCAACCTTGCTGACTCTCACAGGAGTGGAGGTAGAGAAAAGGTAGGAGGGGGAGGAAGTGGGAAGCCCCGAATTCTCCTGTAGGTGTTTTCCTGTGGGATCGAATGAGTGTTCTACGCTCGCATTTTGCTGAATCCTCCTCACACTTTGATAAAGCATCCTCATCTTTTACATATGTGGGAACGAGGCTGAAAGAAGCCAAAAGACTTGCTCAAGATCACAGAGATAATAAGCAAATGTAAGATTTGGACACACATGCCAGTGCACGATGTATCCATGACACCGTGCAAGCTCAAAGTCACTCAAAGTGGCGGAAGTGGCTAACAGTGCAGGTCACATGCCACTCAAGGGCTGGCTGAACAAAGACAAGCCACAACTCCATCAAGGAGGCCGGCCTCCATCCTCTACCTTAAGTCCCCAGATGACCTGGAAAGACCACGAACTCCCTGAGAAACAAAGACACTCTGTGTATCACCCCCCACTCCAGGCCAGGATCCAGTTTTCTGATAGCTGGGACTTCATTATTGGCTCACAGTCACTGGACAGGAGCCCAGTTTCTAATTCTCAGGCTTGCTATCAGTCTGCAAAGGCCGGGGTTATTTCCACTGCCCTTCAACTTCCACAGAAAAGGAAGTACTCTCGAGTGAAGGGCTAAAATGCCACCACGCCGAATCTATTTCTGAGAAGCCTGTTGAAACAAGTCATTATACAGCACGGGCCTAGAAGTCACCTTTGAGTTTCGGGAATCCAAAACGACAAACAATGTAGACAGACCCAACGACATCGTCCTTGGATGGTTTCTCAGAACAGAGAAGAGTTAACAGGAAATTCATCCCTCACTTCCTGGATGAGGAGGAAAATATGCTGGGTATGGCATTTGCTATTATGGAGCAGGAAGTGAAACGGAAGGGTTCACATCCACCAGTTTGATTAGAACTTCCCAGGAATGTGTGATTTGTGATGGCATCCATCAAGAAAAAATAAAAAATGAAGGGAAGTTCTGCCCTTAGAATCCTGCTTACAAAATTTCCCCATAAGACAAACTTTTACTATTTTTTTTTTCTTTTGT